ATAAGATTTTAAAAAAAATAATTAAAACAGGTCTTTGTACTATATTATTTTAAAAAAATACCAATGAATATAATAAATAATTTGACTATTTCTCATTCTAAACCTATCGAATATCTTTTTTTAAAATGCAAGGTAATCTTTTATAAAACCTACATGATTAACTTTTCTTCTAATAAATTACTAATAAAAAAAAAAAAACTCTAAATAAAAACTATTATTCCTACAAATATTAGAGTAGTCTCCCTTGACAGTTTCTATTCTAATGTATTTTGTGTTAATTTTCGTTATGAAATACAATTGACTTTTTAAATTAATTATATAAGAAAACAATCTATCTCTGTGTATGTTTATTTAAAAAAAATATTATTACAATAATTAGAATAGGTGTTTCTGGTTAAATAGCAATTATTCTCATTCTAAATCTTTGGCTATCGAGTTTCATGGGTTTTTAAATTTAAGATTGGCTTGACGAAAATGATTATATACACTTAAATACATACTAAAATTTACTTTTGTTAATAAACCTACACTATTTTATGCACACATACAAAAAAAAATATTTTAGCGGCAGTTACAAAGTCAAAAAAATAAAGGGAAACTCCTTTATACTGAATAGTTCTACGTAACAACAAAAATGTAAAAATACATAGTCCTAGAGCACACTAACACATACATATATACATACGAAGATATGTGTGTGTGTAAGTAGGATGTTAGGTGGGTAGACAGGCGGGGTGGAAGGAAAGCAGTTTGGCAGGAATAACGGTAGGTAGGCAGGCAGCAGCGCAGGAAGGTTAGTAGATAGGTAGGTACGTAGGCAGGGAGTTAGGTATGTCGGTAGGTGGGCCTAGGTAGGAAGGCGCCTCACTCGGTATAGTGAGCGATTATAGTAGCACATCATATTCATAGCGTTTCGCAATTATTAAAACGAACAAAGGTACCATAGTACTCACGGGAAAACCCGGGGAGCTAAATGGAACCCTGCCAGGGCGCCACCAAATCGAATTTTTTTTTCGCAGAAACCACCACAGGGGTATTAGAATTAGCTTCTCAAATTTGAATGACAAACGAATGAAATCTTTGGTAATGCTTAAACAAACAAACCCACATATTCGTTTTTGGGGCGCGGGTTTGTCCACACTGACGCCTAGACACACCAAGGCTCACTGTATAAAAGCCTTGAGTTTACGTTAATCAACCTCTGTAATAGTGAGGTAGAACACACATTGGCGACCGCCCATGTGTTAGAGACGCGTCCCTTGGCGCTCCAGGGAGCCACTAGTTATACTTCCGCAGGGGCGCCCCTAATCCGGTTAAATTATAAAATGTCGTGTGCTACCGTGTCCCTATTGTAGGGTGCTCTTTAAAGAGGCACTCTCGGTAGAGCTCGGGGCGCTTGCTGTCGCCAACTGCCAGGGCGCCGGCGGGCGCTTATTATTCTACTTAGTGAACATTTATAGTAGCCCATCTAAACCGTAGTGTCGCCCGAGGTGGGTCTTGGCCGCTCTGGGCCACTCAACCACCGGGAAGCTGGCGGATGAACCTGGTGTAGTTTTATCACTGAATCTCAGAGGCGTAGCACCATTCCTGGCGCCTGGGGACAAATTTTCAATTTGGCGCCCCCCCTGTCACCGGAGACAAACTTTCAATTTGGCGTCCCCCCCCCACCCCGTATTTTTTAAATATTTATAATGCAAAACTGTAGCTAAAATGAGCTTTTAAATTTTTCCCACCCATTTTGGCGCCCCCTCGCTACGCCTCTGCTGAATCTAGTATTACCTATGACCGCAATTTATGAGATAGCCCCTCTGGATTCCCCTCTGGATTCTGAGCTCATAATCGTTAATGAGAAAAATCGAACCCTCCCAGGGTGCCACACTTAAGAATTTTTTTCTTTCTCGAAACCCTTTTCACCAACTCCCCAAAATTTTATGACTCTCATACGAACAGTGTCAAATTGCATCTGGCTTTTATTTTTATGGAGAAAAATTGCATTGCTTCCTGTCAGAGACCCCAGATCGAATGGGGCGCCAAAAGGGGTAGACAATTTTTAAAAAATCCTCATTCTTCAGTAAAATGTAAGAAAACAGATTTATACATGACTGATATCCTCAATTATTTTATATAGGGGAGTGTATGTAGGGATGGGCGCCTTTTTGCCAGCGTTTGAATAGGGTTGGCACAACATTGATAGTTCGCCCCGGGCGCCGGAATAGGTTGCTACGCTTCTGCTTCCTGCTAGGGCGCCGCCCTGGCGAAATCTTTCCGGGGGGGGGGGGGGCGTGCGGACACTGTTAAAAGTATATATTTTTTTCTATATAAATTCCGTTTCGTTCGGGGGTGGGGAGGGGGGGTCGATAGACTTTCTTCGGGGGGTGGGGGGCTCTGCTCCCCCCCCCCCCCCCCCCCCGAATAGATTCCTGGAAAAAACTCTGTTTACAAAGTTTTATGGCGATCCGATGAAAAAGATGTAGTAATTCATATAGGACAGATAAACATACTTTCATTTCTATAAATATAAATAGATATATAGGGCCTACTTTAACTAGTGTCCGCATACCCGCACCCGGAAACTTAGTCACAATTTTCTTTGTTACATTTGAACCCTTTAGGTTAATCAATATTAACAAAATTGAACAAGATGCAACAAATACAGTTAACCAAGAAATTGAACAAGTAAAATTCACGTTATCTTTTTATTGTTTTTAGATATAGAGTAGTAACAGACTACCTACAGGTCCTAACTCGCGACGAGGTACACATTTGTATTAAAACACAGATCTAAGACATTTTCCATTTTGGTGGGTTTTGCAGCACAGTGGTTTCTTAAGTCGTGGACAAGTGATTGCGCTTATCTCTGTTGAGTAGCTATGTATTCTGTCCTATATTAGACACATTTGTAAATATCTGTCACAATATGGGCATAGAGATGATATAACGATAGCTTATCTTTGCGGACGACGCTTAACTTTGGCATCGACACCACGGCATACAAGTTCAGATTCGGTCCTTCAGAAATGTTTGAAGTCTCTAGATTAAAACTACTTTTCTCTTTTATGTGCCTACTGACCACATCACATGTATTTGTTCTGAAAGTCTAAAAACATAGGCACAAATATATCGTCTAGATTTGTGAGGTCTACAGATTAGGTATTTTGGCAGTCAGTGGCGTAGCCAGGATCGTCTCTAGGGGGGGGGGGGTCCAATTTTTACCCGGGGACAAACTTTCGATTTGCACCCCCCTCATACTTTTTATATATATACCGAGGGGTCTATGGGGGGGGGGGGGGTTATGACCCCCCCCCCAACCCCCCCTGCCTACGCCACTGTTGGCAGTTATCTAAGCCCTTGCCTGTTCTGACTCAAAGCCTTATTCTTTCTCTATCGACGCCTTGCGTAACATGGGATTGGGTTTTTAAGGCGGCATAAAGCTTTATATTGTTCCTTTTTGAGTACACTAGATTAAAAACTAACGTTTTCAGATGCCTAAAGATGTTTAACCACTAATTAATCAGAATAATGGGTCAAGATTTCAATTCTTGGTTTTGGGACACATTAGTTGCCGGGGTTGAGCTAATGTCGATGCGGGCGTTTTATTTGTTGCCCATCGTAATAATTGAATGGTTGATGGGGCTTCTTCAAGGGTTTGATTTGCCGTAATGTTAATGATATCATGCATGTGAGGCTTTTCTAAGAAGAAAATGCGTTAAAACACTTTTTAGTTATGCTTTTTTTTAAAAATAGGCCTATATTTTACGACAACATAATCGTAATGAACAATAAAATGAATTTAAACAACTTTAGAATACATAATCGTAATGAACAATAAAACGAATTTAAACAACTTAAGAATACACCTGTTTCGGCTAACATGAATGTTATTCTTCAAAATAGTAATGTTAAACGTGTCTTTTTCGCATTTTCGACTTATAAGCAATACAGTAAATTCCGATAACGTCCATATGCATACAAGCAATGGCGTAGGCGAGGAGGGGTTTAATAGTGATTTAATAATGATACTTTCTTAACCCTCTTCTGGACATCATGTTTGGTACCTTGCCCCCGGCAACTGGGTGGATTTGGATTACACCCAAGTTTTACTTCATAGTAAATGGCTTCAGTTTTAATTATTGGAGTTGGTAGCAACATTGACACAGTTGAAGGTATTCAGAACAAGGTGGCCAGGAGAAATCACATTAATTAGTATAAAATTTACCATTACTAACAATAGGCCCTACTTGTTTAATGTTGCTGGATATTAAGCCTGGTAGGTATTTATGTTTATTAATTTGTACAGAAACAAAAAAAGGATTCCCAAACAAAGTTTTATTTTTCTGAAATAAAGAAAATGATACAAATCAATAAAGAACAGTTTTCAAAAGAATTTGTATAAAAGTAATTATTATAAAATAGGAATATAGTATTGCATAAATAAAAATAAAATACTTGACACAAACAATATGAGGAATATTTTTTATCACAGAAGAGAAAAATATATGATGTAGTTTGAAAATAATAATGTACAGAATGTAGCTTTTGCAGATTAAAATGAAAATTCTCATGCCTATATAATTTATTGAGTAAATGAAGCAAGGTCCAAAACACTAGGCTAAATGATATGCATGGGACAGGCATTGAAAACTACAAATTGCATATAGTGAAGGTTACCCTATTTATTGGCTATATCCACCACAGTAAAGATTTATGGCTTTATTACCTGTTTGTAAAATTGTTAAGGAAAAAGTGAAGTATTGTTAACTTTTTATGGCAGGCCAACTACGGGCTGTGCTCTGGGAACATGTCATCTGTAAGGGGCATTGTTCTCGGCACATGTTGTCATTTTTTGTGTTCTCGGCACATGTTGCCATTTTGTGTGTTCTGGGAACATGTTGCCATTTTGTGTGTTCTGGGCACATAATGACATTTTGTGTGTTCTGGGAACATGTTGCCATTATGTGGCGGTGTTCTGGGAACATGTTTGTTTCATTTTTTTTAAATATTATAATAAAACATTTTTAGAAATTCTATATTAGGAATTGTGTATATATATAAATTTATATATTTAATAAGACAATTGGATGAATTATAATAAACAGCAAAAATGATTCAAATAAGTTTAGAAGTATTTGGCTTGATGTCCCAACAGTGAACTGTATTCCGAGCTTGTTTCCCTAGTGATAACCCATCTTTTTTGTGCCACCCTTCCAAACAAATATCCAGCTTTTTCTTGGCCTGTATCATAATGCTGGTCATAGACTTGCTTGATTTGTGTATCACAATATGATTTTGAATGTTCTTCTGTAAATGAAATAAAGACAAAATATTTTGATATATTCTTTTGTGGAACTAGCAAGAGAAATACATTACAAATTTATATTACTATCTCTACTATTTCTTTACTATAACTAATTACTTTGAAAAGATAAAGCACTGAACATGATGAATAACAAGAAACAAACATTATCAGCAAAGATTATAGATTTAAAATTGTGTTCACATTCATATTGAAGATTAATGAAGTAGAATATCAATATTTACCCTCTTGATGGCTGATACTTTGATTTGATGTCTTTACTTTAAGCTTACACATCAGTCTCTGTGTGGTAAAATATGAAATAATATGCTTCAATAAAACTGTTTCAGTATATTAATTACATTAGATAAGTACATAGTTTTGAGCTCTATAACAATATGTGTTTCAATTATCATTCAAATATAATACCCTCTATGTTGTACAACTCACTGATTTATTAGAATTTAAGAAAAGACAATAATGAATAAAATATTTTGGATTATAATCCATTATATTTATTATATCATATAATGCCATCTCTTGCTATAATAATTACTTTAAAAAATGGGTTAAGCCTATAGTACACTTACCTGAGGATGAAATTAGGCACAGTGTAAAGTCCACGGAGACTGATTAATATCCCTTGTAATTGAACATCAGTTGTAGTTATGAAATCTGGATGGCCAAACACACACTCATAGTCCTGAAAAGCAATTTACACATAGATTAGCAAGAATATCTCAGAAATTATTAAATTAAAGCTAACCCCTATTTAGTGCAATCCATCAAAGTAGTAGCATTTTTGTTAAGTTGTAGACACAATACAAAGTAATGTTTGTTCTGTGATTTACATACTTTTATAAAATAGAAATCAAATTATATATATATATATATATATATATATATATATATATATATATATATATATATATATATATATATATATATATTCATTGTAAATTTTAGCTATGTCTTGCTATTAAATTTATTTACTCGACTGATCTAAACTCACTTTATTTAAACATAATATAGTGGATAAGTATAGTGATTTTATTATTCAGCAATAAATAGCAGGCCTAAAAAATTTTAAATAGTAACGTTTGCGAATGAACACATTAAATTCTATGTATTTCCATTTCTATGTCTTTCCCAACTTGATGCATATTACTAACCAAGTATTAAACTATAGTCCTAAACCTGACTCTAATTACCATTTATTGGACAACCTGAACCTTTGCGATACCATGTTATAATATATTATTTAAAAAAAGAGCTTACCACTAATTACTAAAATCAATTGTTTTTAGTATTAACTGAGCCGCATACTATCTGCTGCTATTGTCATCACCAGAAATCTAGTATGTTGGCAAGTTTTAGTCTCCAAGTTCCCTACAACCTCTTTCCTCTAGAACTAGAGTGCGGAAAACACTGAAATCATTAATCATTATTTCATTATGCCTAATAGTTTAAAGGTAGTATTAAAGTAGTACTAAATAGTATGAGTCTTAGTTACTATAGGTCTAATGATAATTATTATTGTGTATGCTTACATGCTTTAAGTTTTATGCACAATATTGTTATATAATATATAGTCTATAGTATATAGCCTAAGCTTTAGAGTATATAGGCCTATAAGCCTAAATATAACAGCAGCTTGAATAATGCTCATTAGCATGCATTCACTATAAACTATAAAGATAAACAAATATTTCAATTTAATTTAATTATAACTAATAATAGTAAATAGGCTTTTTTCTTGTGGTAACAAATTTAAAGTATAGGGCAGTACAGTTATAGTACTATAGGCCTACTAGATTCTATATTTAAGTATGTGGGCTTTTCATTCCAATGCACCACAATAGATACCACACATGATCAAGCTGGACCTCTGATCTAAAGATTTAATAATTGGGCCTAACAAACAGTGAAACTACAATAAAAATTGTAATAGATTGGGATTTGTGAGGTCAGGGGAACTCACTCTTCTTGTATTAGTTATATCTATAATGTTGTTATTGAGTGATGTCCCTTGTTATTTATCTATTGTTGCTTCCTGTTCCGGCCTCCATCATGTTAGCAGAGGTCCAATAAAATGTATATACAAACAGCATGGCTTATCGTCAGTGTGTTATAATAGAATCACTCCAATCTACCTCAATTGGCGACGAGGATGGGATAATCCACTAGAAAGAGCACCTACTTACGCAAAAAAGAGGTTTGCTAGAGCATATTGGCTAAGTATTTCTAGAATAATGGCGCTGTATGGCCAAATAAAAGAATTTGATTCGAATGATGAAATCATTCATGATTATCTAGATAGGTTAAGCTTTTACCTTGAAGCTAACGACGTGACGATAGAAGCCAAAAAGAGAGCTGTTTTGTTAACAGTCATAGGGCCTCAACAATTTAGGCTACTAAAAAACTTATGCGCACCAGCTAGTCTAACTACCAAGAGCTTTAACGAGCTGAGCAAATTGCTAACAGACCACCATGCGCCTACCCCATCAAAGTTTCTATGTCGAGCTAGATTTGACGGTAGGACTCGTCAACCAAACGAGTCAATATCAGAATATGTTGCTGCTTTACGTCATTTAAGTGAATTTTGTGAATTCGGCGATACGCTGTCTGACAGACTATGTGAAAAGTTTGTGACAGGTGTAAACAGCCCTGATGTTCAAAGAAAGTTTCTGCTCGAGTCAGATCTAACATTGGAAAAAGCAATACAACTTGCAACTTCATACCAGCAGTCATCCGATGCGGCGAGATCTCTAGCACCTTCAGAGATCCATGCAGTAAACAGCAGGTTAGTCAACAAACACCAACCCCATCAGAGCATTTCAACTTATGCTAAACAGCCTGCACGTTCAAAGCCTAGATCTAAATCTAGTAATAATTATCAAAAATGTCATCGATGCAAAGGTCCCCATGCATCTCATCGGTGCAAGTTCAAGTCTGCAACTTGTTATAAGTGCAGTAAGCAAGGTCACATTGCCAAGGCCTGCTTTGCAAAGTCTTCGTCTGTTGCTAAATCTAGCCAGTCAAGACAGTACCGCAACCAAAGGCAGCACTATGTTAACTCTCACCAAGACTACCTAACCCAACCAATGAACCACTCTACCTGTGAAAATGCTCAAACTGATTCGCAGCCGGATTTCAACCTATTCTCTGTGAAATCAATAAGTCATGCTCCCATCAATGTACTAGTTAATATCAACGGTAAGAGCATCAGCTTCAAACTTGACACTGGAGCATCTCTAACAGTCATCACAAAGAAAGATTTTGACGCTGTCACAGGAGGATCAGTGCCTCTACAACCATGTCACAAGTGTCTAACAACATACACTGGTGACAATGTTCCGGTAATAGGAGAGTGTATGGTTCATGTAAGTTATAATGGTCAAAGTGTTAAACTTCCTATTCTTGTGGTTGAAGGAAATGGACCACCATTACTAGGTAGGAACTGGTTAAGTGATCTTAAGTTAAATTGGGAGAGGATATGTTCATTGATCAATACAAGAGAATCTAGTCTTACTTCAATAAATAAAGTAATATCTGAAAATAAAAGTGTTTTTGGCAATTCAGGTTTACTAAATGATAGAACAGTGAAGTTAAGCATTAAAGACACAAATCCAAGATACTGCAAAGCTAGAGTTCCACCTTATGCAATGAGGAATAAAATTGAAAATGAGCTAAGTAGATTGGAATCCAATGGCATCATAAAGAAGGTAGACTATTCCGATTGGGCAACGCCCATGGTGCCAGTGTTAAAGAAGGATGGTTCTATAAGAATTTGTGGAGACTATAAAACTACACTGAATAAGCAAATAGAGCTAAATAGGTACCCTATTCCTAACATTGAGGAAATTTCTTTGAATTTGGCAGGAGGAGACAAATTCACTGAATTAGACTTTAGTCATGCTTACACTCAACTAGAACTGCATCCAGATTCAAAAGTCTATACGACAATAAACACACATAAAGGACTCTACCAATATGAAAGACTATGTTTTGGCATATCATCCAGCCCTGGAATTTTCCAAGCTGTCATGGACAGTATTTTTAAGGATATTCCAAATGTTTGTGTTTACTTTGACAATGTGTACATAACTGGTAAGAATGACACTGAACATCTTAAAACACTTGATAAAGTTTTGAAAATAGTTGGTGAAAAAGGTTTAAAGATAAACAAAGATAAATGTCAATTCATGCTGACAGAAATTAGTTTTCTTGGTTATATATTAAGCAAGCAAGGTATCAGACCTCAACCTGAGAAAACAAAAGCCATTAAAGAAGCACCCAAACCTGAAAATACCCAACAACTAAGAGCTTTTTTGGGCTTGATAAATTACTATGCAAAGTTCATAGGGAATCTGTCTGGTAAACTATCACCACTGTACAAGCTGCTACAGAAAAATGCAACTTGGCACTGGGGTAAACAACAAGAAGTTGCTTTTAATACAGCAAAAGAAGCTTTGTCTTCTGACACCTTACTAACTCACTATGACCCAGGGAAAAGACTTATATTAACATGTGATGCTTCACCAGATGGTGTAGGAGCAGTCTTATCCCACATAGATGAAAAGGGTGACAGACCCATTGCTTTTGCCAGTAGATCTTTGAACCAGGCTGAGAAAAATTATTCTCAGTTAGATAGGGAAGGCTTAGGCATCATTTTTGGTGTTAAGAAATTTCATAAGTTTCTGTTTGGTAGGAAGTTCACCATCTTTACAGATCATAAACCATTGCTAGGTTTATTTGGAGAAAACAAAACCCTACCTGAGCATGCCTCACCAAGAATTCATTGATGGGCTATCACACCTACTGCATACAATTATGAATTGAAATACAAACCTGGATCTGAGAATAGTGCAGATAGCCTTAGTAGATTACCTTTAAAAAAACCAAAGCCTTAGCTATGTACCAGAAGATGTATTTGTTCTCTTCACTATCATGGATAACTCCAATATAAATGTGAATGATATTAAAAGAGAAACACAAAAAGATGAGTGCTTAATAAAAGTATATGAGTACTGTAAGAATGGTTGGCCTGAAGAGTCTGTGAATGATGACTTAAGGCCATATAAAATAAGCAAAACAGAGTTAAGTCTAAAAGATGGAGAAGATGCAGTCCATTATCAGTCAGAGTTGCCTAAACAAAGTATTTGTAACTTAATAAATGATTATGGTGATATGGCAATTTCAAATGCTTTAAAGAGAATACATTAGTAAGAAGGAATGTGATCATCAAACAACTTTGCTAACATCATTAGCACTTACAGAAACTAAAAGGGTAACATCAAAAGTAAATACCAAACAGAAGAAGCTAAATGTGACAATGAAAGAGTAAACAGGTTATTAGCCAAATACCGCACAACTCCTCATATAACAACAGATGTTGCACCATGCGAATTGCTATGTGGTAGGAAAATTAAAACTCATCTTGACCTACTACATCCAACTGTTCAAAGGTCTGTTTCCCAACATCAACATACACAAAAAGTAAATCATGACAAATCATCCATTGAAAGAGAATTTGCAGTTAATGATAATGTGTATCTAAGAAATTATGGGAGAAGGGAAAAATGGATACCAGGTCAAATTGTTCAATGTACAGGACCTGTGTCTTATAAGTAAAAACAAATGATGGACTTATTGTCCGTAGACATGCAGACCAGTTAAAAATAACTTGTGCAGATAATAAGTGTGAATCTATCAATCCCACCAAATCTGAACAGTTCACACCAACTCAGTTTGTTCCACAACCAAGTTCTGTTGATATGAGTGAACCAAGTTGTCTAGAGTCAGAACATGTAAATTCTGGAGTTAATGATTTAAATCCTAGACCTCCTGAGATAGAGAATCCATATGGTCAGAATCTTGAGTCACCAAATCAAAAGCCACTGAGAAGGTCAAACAGGACAATCAAAGTCCCAGATAAGTTAGACCTATGATTTAAAGGTCAAAAGGACTTTGACATCATTGTTTTGTATCTTGATTATGTTGTAGCATATTGTGCATTGTTTGTAAGGATGTAATCTACCATAGTGTTCATGTTACAATATAATTGGTGATTATAGGATACTGTCAATTGTTCTATTGAGAGATGTGTTGTGTTTACTAAGGGTAAAGGGATGTAATAGATTGGGATTTGTGAGGTCAGGGGAACTCACTCTTCTTGTATTAGTTATATCTATCATGTTGTTATTGAGTGATGTCCCTTGTTATTTATCTATTGTTGCTTCCTGTTCCGGCCTCCATCATGTTAGCAGAGGTCCAATAAAATGTATATACAAACAGCATGGCTTATCGTCAGTGTGTTATAATAGAACCACTCCAATCTACCTCAAAAATCACGTAAATTAGTAATTTACATGATTTTTATTGTAGTTTCACTGTTTAAATTACTAATTTAACCTTCTTACCTCCGCTTCTCTAGATTCCTATTCTATTTCCTTCAAACTTTCTTTTTATGCAGCCGTATGATTAGATTCTAGACTATATTCTAATAAACATGAAATAACTACTAACCAGAACACTAGATCTAAATTTCTATATTCTATGCAATATGTATTAAACCTATAGGCCTAATATTTATTTTAAATTCCTATGCGATGTGTCGTGAACTGTAGGTTTCATGTTTTTTTTTAATGGCGGAAATCAGTTTAAAATTTCGTTTCCTTCCTTTTGTTATTCTATTTATAGATTCAAAATGCTTAGAGTCGGAGCAATTATCATTGAATTAGTCGGCCGATCCACACAGGAAGTGCTGGTATATCTATTACTTACTCAGTGATCTGATCATTGACAGAAACAGAGATAGCCATTCGCACGGGGTGATATTCTGTTATGTGGGTAAGAGTTGGGAGAGAGAGAGGAGAGAGAGAGAGAGAGAGAGAATAATGTTACATAACACCGCCTTCTAGTTATTTTAATTCCAAATTTTGAAATTAGAATGCTTTGACAAATGAGCTAACAGAACTGGTATACAAGTGTTTTTGTCATTAATTTAAATGTCACACGGCGTGGGTGGTGGTTTCAATGATGTAAGTAAGTAAAAGTAAAGTATCCGTTGGAACTTGACGGTCCACGGGAAAGGTGAAGTAGAGTTCACTTGTTTTACTCACTTCGGCTTATGAAGGGATGGTTTTGGTCATCACCATTCCCAGCCGTTTTTACTTTCCCTAACGTGGGCTAGGTACCCAACCGAGCTGGGTGGATTCAACATAATTCTACGGATCTGAACTTTAGACTTTGGGATTAATAATCATCTGCTCAATGTGTGAAAGAAACTATTTGTGGTTTATTTAGATGAAGGCCTGTGGTATCGATACTAGTAAACAAGAGCTCGATACGTCATGCTGACAGAGGGGTATTGACAGAAGTACACCAAGGTATCAGACAAGTAGAGTAAAGTAATACTGTTCTCTAAATACCAACTGGGTCCGTTCAAGTTTTAGTTCGAGTTTATCTCATTTTTTCATGATTTCTTGATTTACCTCTTTACTAGTGGTTTCTATAGTTACCTTCCTTTCCCATTGTTTTTAAGTTCATCTCCCTTTCTCGCTGCTTTATATTTTACCTCCTTTTCCTATTATTCTCTGGTTTACCTCCCTTTCCTATCATTCTCTTGTTTACCTCCCATCTCATGTTTTCTCCTGTTAACCTCTCTCTGTCTTGCGATTCACCAAATTTAGCGATAAACGATAATTCACTCAGAAAAATCATTGGCTGTCATTTTTATAAATTTTTACTGAGAAAATGATCAAAACTATGTCTCCATTTTGACCAGAAACCTACAGAAATACCACCAGTAAAAGATTGCTGGAATGATACTTTCGTCTGGTATTGTGAGTTTGTGAAAAGTTATTTGTATTGTATTTAAACGTTTATTACTATAAACGTTTTTATTCTTGTATTTTAAAATTAAGGAAATTATTCAAAATTTGACAGAAGGCAGAAAATTAGTTTTACTTACATGTGAAATTTAATTTATCTATCTGAAATAGTACTCAAGTTATAGACTTTTGAAACATTCAAAGTAGAAAAAGTTCCACTTCCGGTTATCGGAAATTGCTCAAAAGTTGAAACTTATCTACAAATTTGATATAATACTTATATATGAAATTTCATCATCCGAGCTGTAACGGTACTCAAGTTATCGTGTTTACAGACACACACACACATACACACACACATAGACATACGGACATGATTGCAAAACTATGTTTTTCCGACTCACGATTACAATACTTTCTCTATAGGCTTACTTCGTGTACGAGAAAGTAAAAAAGCATTCCGTTGTCGTTACATAATGAACAATTACCTCTAGTATCTTCGGAAATATTAAAACTTGTAGTAATAAGTGTAAACAATGGAGTAGCTTCCCTTCATCTGTCTCATAAGTATCATAGTGAAGTTTGTTTTATTTTCATTTCATTCATAACTCTGCGCAGAGTACAGTCTACATTTTCATACAATATTTAACCATGCATCTTCCAACAGTAAGTAAAAAAAAAACTTCTTTAAATACTATATAACCTCTATATAGGTTTTAGTTTTAAACTTTTAGATCTGACAAATACATAAACATGTGAAAATTATCAGATTCTACAAGTTTTATTTTAAAAGTTTTACATTTGATAAATACATATCCATAGCGAGTAACAAAAAACAAAACTGATTTAATTTTATTTTTTTAACTAGTGGTTAAAAATCAAGTTTAAATATCAGAAAGGTTGTTTCAAAGTTGATTGTGTTATACAGCTTGTAGGCATACTAGTAACCTAAATAGTGTAGAAGAAATTTAAAAAAAAACGATAAAACTTGAAACTTGGATTCTTGAACTTCGTTTCTGTTTTCGAAGTCTTCCTGAAAAATGTAACAATTAAATTTTAAAATTACTTTGCTGTAAAGAAAATGTTTAATACATTAACCTTCTGATCTCGCTCCTACCACGAATCAACAAGTTTTTTTTAAAGATAAAAGCCACCATGTATCTTATACCGTAAAAGTGGCTAATCTAAAAACTGTTTTTACAAATTGTCCAAAGTCATGATATCTGGTGATGCTGTAAAATACTAAACAGTGCCCTTATAAAACAACATTAGCTAGCACTGATTGGGCGATATGATATTTGCAAACGGGTGTGTACATCTGTATGCTTAAGGGAATGTCTGTATGTCTATGTGTCTGTGTAAATGTGTATTTCTATATTTTTGGTTAGGCCTACATGCACACATAAAATCACTATCCCCGAGCTGATTTCCCTTGTTATTTATCCTACTTCGCCTACAAGACTAACCCCTCACCCTAAATTAATATTAATAATAATACTAATAGTAATAATAACGTAATTCTGACATTCAGTCTTAAAAAAAACTACTGGCATTCTCAGTCGATAATACTTAAGAAGTTCCACAGAACATACCTCCTATGTGCAGGCGTAATTGTTGATAGCGTCGACCAGAATCTCTTCGCACAAGATTTTCTAAAAAGTGAGAAAAGCTTACACACTAGATTTATAGATTCTTCAGTACAGTAGGCAAATGGTCAAAATGGGACAAGTACCGTGAATGGAACTAGTAAAGTAGTAAAAAGTGAAGTTGTATAAAGTACATAAGTAAAAAAAAAAGCAGAAAGTAAAGTAGAAACAATGTGTTGCGTTTTAATTTATCTAAAGTTATGTCTTTAATGAACTCCATTTGGGTGATACTTTAGCCTACAAATGTACAACTTAGTTTTATCATTTCAGAACATGGTTTTCTTTGTTCCCACTCGTAACTTTTCAATTACAAGAACTACATACCCACTTAGAGTTTCTGATTACATATTCAACTTACACCACGATTACGCTCGCGACATGTAGCCTATACTTTACAAAAAACAACAACAAAAAACCTCGCAAAAGTAAGTATACGTTTCATAGGGAAATATTTACTAGTTTGTTATTCTAGACATGTATATTATACATGTCGCAAGTGTAAACGCGGTGTTAGAGTAAAATAACCACATAGTATGTAAAATGACCACATATTATGTAATAGGCTTCCATGTAATAGAAGATACTAACTATATTAAATAACAAGTTAATAAAAAGGCCAAGGCTTCTATATTTTCTAAAAAAAAACTAGCGCATGAAAATCCAGCTCACAATCCTATATTGTCTGCACATTTTGAATAAAAGTTTTCAAATAAAACATCATTTTAGTATAAATAAATACAATTGTACTTACACTCTTCTGCAAAGCTGATCGGTACGTCGGCTTCTCACACTGTAAAATAGAACAAATTTAATTCGGAATTCATTATATTAGGAACAACAATAAACTTAATAATTAATCAAGGGGCCATCCATAAATTAATTAACGCTTTTTTGGTCGATTTTTACTTCCCTTCCACTCCGTCACACATCGTTACAAAAAGCCACACCCCTACCATAAAATGATCTCACACTTCAGCCTACAACCCCCATCCCCCCTCAAAATTGATGTTGAATTCTTTAAAAAGAATTTTTTTTAAATCTTGACTGAGCTCGGTCAACATAAAATGTTTAAATCAATTTCTATTACAATTTATTAAAACAGGTCTCCAAAATCGCGAAATAACGGCTAAATTTCCTCACATATCGTCACAAAATTACGGACTTCTTCCCCACTGCCAGTGTGACTTCATTTTAATGACGACCGTTATGGATGAGGCATTATTTTTAGATACAATACACTTCAAATGTATATACGGATATTGAACTATTAGAGATTTAAAATAAAATGTATATTTAAGAAATACATACACCGACTCTATCCAAAAACTTTTTGGCCAGATTTAGCATGCATTTCTTCTTGGAAGAAAACTGGGGAACGTCGTTCCAGGTCTTCTGAAAAATGTTTTTCACTAGTAGAGACCATAATTATCTAGAGGTTATCTCTTACTAAAGTACCAAGTATGTTTAGTCTACTACATCTAAACTGTAAGCCAGTACTTTCAATGTCAATGTTTTTCACTAGTAGAGACCATAATTATCTTACAAAAGATCCAAGTATGTTTAGTCTACTACAGCTAAACTGTAAGCCAGTACTTTCATTGTCAACGAAAGAAAGGACTTACGGCTGCCTTGTTGCCGTTGTCGGTGGGGTCATCTATCACATCCTAAAGAAATTTGTACACAAATAAACGCCACATTGAATGTTCTCTAATATTAAAGTAATCTTAAATCTAATGTAAATTGGCCGACAATAATACTGTTTAGTTTAATTTTTTATTAAAATTTATTTTGAAGTTTGGAAAGTTTAATTAAAACAAATGGGGAAATAATTAGGATAAGATGTTAATGAGGGATATTGATATAAAAACATAAAGACACGCCCATCTCCATAACATAGTGACACATATAAACACCCCTATCTACAACATAAGGAATTGAGACACACCAGAGGCGTAGTGTTCCTTCCCGTCGCCCGGTGACAAACTTTCAATTTGGCGCCCCCCCCCCGTGACAAACTTTCAATTTGGCACCCCCCATATATTTTTTATATTTATAATTCAAAACTGCAGGTAAAATGAGCTTTTAATTTTTTTCCAACCCCATTTCCAACCCCCCTACGCCTCTGAGACACGCCCATCTCCATAGCATAAAGACACGCCCATCTCCATAAAATACACGCCCATCTCCATAATATAGAGACACGCCCATGTCCATAACATAACGACATAGAGATATGCTCATCTCCATAAAATAGAGACACGTCCATCTCTACAACATAACGACATACAGACACGCCTATCTCCTCAACATAACGACTTATAGACACGCCGACATACAGTAATTACAATGTAGTTAAACATATTATACCACAGCTTCCTCCTCTTGATTTTCCTCTTCGCCAGCCTCCTGTAAGAGAAGAAAAAAATTACCCAGCGACATGAGAGATTCCAGCTGTTTTATCCCTTCACACTTTAGCAGTGCCATTACTCAACAAAACTTGGGCGTTTTATTTCTATTTGCCTGTGATTAAGTCTTTATAGATTGACACCCATGGCGTAGCAGGCCCAAAATACTATAAAACTAATGGAGTTTAATTAAAATTATTGCAAATAACGCTATATAAATACTGGTGTTTAACTTTCGCACATAAAAATACTGGAATTTAACTATCGCATAGAAAGCTATGAAACACTGGAATCAAATTATTGCACATAAAAAATACTGGAATTTAACTAACGTATTATTACTATAGTCTGATACTTCGGCCATATAATGTCCTCAGTGTTGATGACCAAATAGATTACACTATGCTTGTTAAGACTTGAAAGATTACGACCTATACGCTTCTAACCTTGTACTAATTTCACCCCCCCCCGTCTACTCCTGTCCCCTTTTCAAACCTGACGGTCTATGGGGCAAGTGAAGTAGAGTTCAATTCTTTCTGTGATCCCGGCATATGAAGGGATAGTGTAGCACTATGCCCAGCCGCCTTTAATTTCCCTAACGTGAGTTAGGTATCCATTAGAGCTGAGTGGACTCTGTGACATTCTACTGACTTGAACCGTGATTCGAACTCGAGATTTTCGGGTTAGAAGTCTAGCTCTCTACCGCTAGACCACCTCTAGTCCTACAGCAACGTGTAATGAATGCCACTCTTTCATATGTTTTTACCCAAGTCCTTTGTTGTTGCTTTAAGCGGGGGGGGGGGATTACATACCTCACACGCCTCGACCCCACTAACCCCTTGACACCTTGACCCCACTAACCCGTTGACCCCACTAACCCTTGTAGAAAAACTTTACTCACAGGTTGAGGGCAGGATTTAAAGTTGACGACATCAGCCATAAACTGGACACACTTTTCAATCTGGACATTTTTTAAACACAAAAGTCACAAAAACATTTAAAATAAATACAATGTATTAAAAAAGGTGTTTCGAATAAAATGATACAACGGATTAAAGCAGGGGTCTCCAAACTTTTCAGTCCGAGGGCCGCATTAGCTATCAAATTTCAGTTCGGGGGCCAGTTTCTTCCAGGCATGTCTTTGATTTTTCTGGGAAAAGTTCCTCAGCCATCACCAACAAACGTTTTTTTTCCGTGGACAAAAAAATCTCCGCGGGCCGGATGAGAGGACTTCGAGGGCCGCATCCGGCCCGCGGGCCGTAGTTTGGAGACCCCTGGATTAAAGGAACGTATTTTCGAAAATCCTATATCACTTTTAACTTGTCATTTTGTCGAGTTACAGTTTTTTCAATCCATTTAACGGTTACGTTTTTTAAATAAAAAAGTAACTTAGAGATCATGGATTCTGAAAAAAACTAGTCATCATTTCAAACTCGAAACATTTTCCTAAAGTAATTTGACAACGTTTTGTCTTTTAAAGAAGATATAAAAAAGAAAATTTTGGATTTGGCTAAAAAGCTGGAATAAATAAGGACAACTTACTTTGTTACTATCTTTAAGTATAATATTTGGCTTCAAGCGTTCACACTGAAAGAATTAAAATATATATAACAACATACTTTATTCAATAACTACACGTATTATATTAGCCCTTATATATTCACAGATAAGTTATTAATATAATATGTAATATATATATATATATATATATATATATATATATATATATATATATATATATATATATATATATATATATATATGTTATATATACACGTATATATATGTCATATATCTGTATATATATGTATGCATATATATATATATATATATATATATATATATATATATATATATATATATATATATATAATAAATTTAGCAGTGAGACATTTTTAACCTACCCCCAAATTATTGGTGAAATCCTTGGCAAAAGCAATCAAGTCTGGACTTTTGAATACGGGGACTAGACTCTTTACAGCCTAAGTCAAATTTACGACAGTTTAAAAAATGGAAACATGCAAGTTTGTGATTGATGTAACTGCTTTGGCAATCAGACTTCTCCTTACACCCTCTAAATATATTCTTTTTTTTCTTTTACCACCATCAACGACCTGACACTCAAATACCCCATCCACTACAACCCTGCCCTAAACTACCCCACCCTCAACTACCTGACCTTCAAAACCCCACCCTCAACTACCCCACCCTCAAATACCTCACCCACTACAACCCCACCCTAAACTACCCCACCCTCAAATACCCCATTCACTACATCCCTACCTGTAAACTACCCCACCTTCAAATACCCCGCCCTCAACTACCCCACCCTCAACCACCTCTCCTTCAACTACCCCATCTTCATCTACCCCATCCTCAACTAGCCCACCCTTAACTAGCCCACCCTCAACCACCCCACCCTCAAATATCCCGCCTTCAAGTACCCCAACCTCAACTACCCCACCCTCAACTTACCCAACCACAACTACCCTCAACTACTCCACCCTAAACTACCCCACCCTCAACTACCCCACCCTCAACCACCCCACCGTCAAATATCCTACCTTCAACTACCCCAACCTCAACTACCCCACCCTCAACTGCCCTCAACTACCCCACCCTCAACCACCCCACACACAACTACCCCAACCTCAACTACTCCACTCTCACCTGCCCTCAACTACCCTCAACTACCCCACACTCAACCACCCCACCCACAACTTACCCACCCACAACTACCTAACTCTCTTTTTATCCACCTCTGCCTCCCCCACCACCTATAAAAACAAACTCACATATCGGACGTTTGCCATCTTTACTTTCAGACTATCTAGGGGTATCGACAGAGTAGAAGCCTTTAGATCAAACACAAAATTAATTATTTTCAAAGATTAGATGTTATAACATGCACATACATTTTACTTTAATAAACACATGCACCCATTTAATCTTAGTGAAATAAAGTTAATATTTACAGATAATCGAAGACCAGTTTTTAATTTTACAGATTTTCTTTAAAAAATTATGTTCTCTTGTATACAAATTACCATTTTGCTAACATAAAAAACTGCCAATAAACGGTATATAATAATATATAATAATATTAAAATCGAAAGCAAGGTACCAGTGTTTCAGGCATCTCTTCGCCTAACCCCATCCGAACGAGATAGAATTTATATAGAAAATATATACAATTACCATGTCCGCCCCAAACCCCCTCGGAAATTTAGTTCTACCACTAAAATTTTAACCCCCCCCCCCCCTCCTTGAATGTACTCTGAAAGTAACACTGCAAGATAATAATTTCTAATGTACAATTTACGATTTCCCCAACTAAAAACTATCATCCGTTGTCAATACAAAGTAATTGATAAATTATAAAGAACACGAGATTTAATTTAAAACTTACGATGTGTCCCCCGAGAAAGAGCATTGCCATGTCGTATATCATGCCCTGTAGAGATACAACAAATGTTGATTTATTTATGTAACCTCTTGTTGTCTGCCCTTAACAACAAACTACAGCCACACAATGTTATCACCTCCCCTTATCAAACTGAAGTATAAGTTATCTTTTACTTGGATTACACAACATTCACATTGTTATTATATTTTCCCTTGAGCTCCCAAGGCACATGGGGCATTACTGATTGATAATTTTATATTTTAAAATAATTTGATAATAGTATCAAACTAAAAACGTGACTAAAGTTGTTAGAAAAACAATTACCAGGCCTTTAGCTGGTTTGTTTTTCTGAAAAAAAAAACATATAATGTGTGAAATGTTATAGTCTTGTTTGCTTTTTCATTAATGGGATAAAAGATATTATACTTTTATATTATATAAAAATATAAAAGATATTTTCTACGTCGCCCAACCATGCGGGATACAACGCAAGCACGCCGACTCTCTAACCGTCCTCCCGCCCCCTCTCTCGCTCTCCAGGCATGCGCAACAGCGTGTACCCACCCACCCTATTTGGACAACTGTGTCTAGTATTCACCCGTTACTAAATTGGGGTGTGTGCTACGCAGCGGGTCGGCTCATATAAGATATTTCGTCAAAATATGATGCTGATAACTTACTGTGTTTCCCCCGTTTAAGCCCTCGGATACGTTGGGCAGTACGTCCTTTTATAGAGGGAAATATTTTTTTAGTTAACAAAAAAAATTGATTACGCAAACTTTAATCTTCGTAATCAGTTTTAATTTCTTAATGTATTTAAAATTAGCCATACTAATTCTCAAATGAATATCGTGCCATAATTTATATGTGGATTAATTTATATTAAATAGTTTTAAATTTTAAATGAGTTGTTTAATGAACAGTTTTTGTTTGAGTTAAAATAGTATAGTAAATAAAAAAAGCAGTATCGTGTAAATGTGAAATTTAAAAATCTCACCTCTTCCTCTTCTTCATTCGTTCCCGGATACTATGGAACAAAAAAGTTATTTTAATATAATATTAGCTTAAAATTGTAGACATTTTTTTTACTCAAAAAACGTTAAATATAACTTGTTTAAAATATATATTAGTACACTTGTCTGCAGAAATTATCGGATATGATTGTACATAGAGCAGGATAAGTAGAATAACTCAGTTTCTCTGATTTGTAGCTATAATTGGGGGGGGGGGGGATGAGATAGTAAAATGTAGAGCAGAAATTCGATTAGTAGATTTTTGGAAGGGTGCGGATATAGAAACACGTTTGTCAAGATAAAAGCCAAACTTGACCAGAATGCGAACCCCAATCATTATCGGCATCGATCACGGTGTTCAAATCTTAACACACAGCAGGAAAAAAAATGCGTCTTTTAAATTTACCAATCTTCATGATTAATTTACTTCTGTTTTATTCTCTATTGCAAAATACCTCTTCATTTTATTATTTCGGAAGAATCATTTACATCAGAAATAAAAGTAGTAGAGGTAGACATCAATGTGATCCATTAAATCTATTAACTAATTACAATTTAATTTCAAAATATCTTTTGTGTTTTTAATGGAAACTTTTTCTCAATAGAAATGTTTATAACTTACAGGCGATCCCCCTTGTACTCTGCCAGTCCCATTTCGTGCTGAGTTCTACGTTGATTATATTTTTACAAAAAAGGATAGAATAGTATAATTATTAGCAAAAACTTAGCAAAAAATAGAATCCTAACGAATTAAAACTATAATCTAATTATAATACTAGAGATCTTTATTAAATAATGCAAATATTTTCTCTATATTTTTACAAAAGACAATTTTAAAAAATAAAAATAAAAACACGCAATTAAGCCAGAATATCAAATAACACAACACGATGTAAAAAGACCCTTCTTATGTTTTTCTGTAACTTGATATTAGTAATTAATATTGTTACTTGTGACATTTTTTATATTAAATCTTTTTTAAAGTTAAATAATTGCATGTAATAGACAATATAAGAAAACGGATTACTGTCGCCTTCAAACCAAATAATTTAATCATAGCGAATACTTTTAATTAAAAAAAAACTTACCAATCCAAATGGGTCGTATGGTTTCTAAAACAAAACACGGAAAGATGTACTTATGATATAAAAATTCAAAATGTAACAGTAAAATTATCTGTTGGGTTACTTCAGCATTTGGATAAGTGTGTCCATTTGTATAGATGTCTACAAAGTTATGTGTTTGCATTATTTGATCTTAAAAGTTTACAGATATTACTTGCAAAGTTCGATATTTATTTCAAAAATTAAAAGTAGCTGCTTCCAACATACCTGCTCTTTCTTCTTTGCTGCATTCTGAAAAGCAAAAAAAAAAAAAAAAAAAAAAAAAACAACAACATTATATTGTAATATTTTTATTAACAAAAAAATATTAAATACTTTTACCAGTTTTTTTTAGATAGCCAGTTACAAAAAAAAACCCGTTAATTAATTTTGATGTCAAAAGCACTGCGTACTACTTGAATTCATAATTATCAACAATTAAATGTGGAAAAATAGGTAGAATCTATTTATTCCTATTGATCACATATCAAAATAAAAGGTTTTTCAAGCGTCACATTGTTATAAAGTATTTTGAAATGTTATAGCTTACGAGAATGTAACATCAACAATGAACACATAATATTCTGAATTTTAATTTCAGAAATTTTTCTGTAGGAAAAATAATTTCGCAATTTATTATTAGGTAGTTAAAAAGACAATCTAAATTTAGTTGTTAACGTTTAATAATAAAAGTGTTCCAAAAGTAATGTAAGAGCTTACTGATATTTTTCCTAAAATTCCACCGGTAGAGTTTACTAGAGAGTTCTAGGTAATAATAAAATATTTTAAATCTTAGCATTAATAGCGTAATTGTTTTTCAATATAATTAAAATTTCTTTTTTTTAAATGTGTTTTAATATTTATTTAGAATTTTTGTTTTTTAATAATGATTTCAAACCGATGAGATTGTGCTTAAGATTAAGAATAAATTATAATAATAAGTTCTATATAATGTATAGCAAAATAAGTGTAATAATATTTGGTAAGTAACAAGTGTAATAATATTCGGCATCTTTTCTTTTCACATAAAAATCCTTATTAAAAATTGTTAAAAATTATTATTTGAAACAATAAAAGCAACTTACAATACCAGTAGCCATGCTTTGTAGATAGTCCTAGATTAAACGAAATTTAAAAAGCAGTAAGAAAAAAAAACACGTTTTTATAGTTAAATATTATGTTTCAAGCAAGTTATTATTAAAATTAATAATTAAAATTATTAAAATTTAAATTAATCACTCACACAATACAAACTATATTTAAAAAAACAACAACAAATTATCAAGGTAAAATAAAAATTAAAAACATACCGTTCCTGAGGGTCCACCAGATTTCTAAAAAAAAAAAATAAATAAATAAAAAAAAACCATTTAAACTTCAATAGCCACTTTTATCGTAGTTTTTTTTATTTAAAAACAGCTGTACATTTATCTTACAGAAATGACCGGATATTTAACTGGCAAATAGGATTACACCTAAAATTATAAAGTTAATTAACAAGTCACCTGTCCATTATTTCCACTTTGCGACTAAAAGAAAAAAAAACCATTATATTAAAGCAAATTAGGCATCAAAACTAATTTTCACACATTCTAAATTTAGCAAAAACAGGTGCACATATATTTCCTAATCTCTCTATCAATATACGAGAGAAAAAGTTCATTGTGCCTCGCAAGCAACTCAGAGGCAAAATAAGCAATATTGTTTTATTCGGTCACATTTTAAAGCAGTCTTTTAATTATTGATGTATTATGACATTGTTTTCAATTTACAGCTTATTAATTATCATTGTTATATTATTTACATGTAATAGTTGTATACTACCATGTCTAAGAAAAATGAGGAACTTACAGTCAGTCCTCCAAGAACACTTGTCGCCATATTCATTAGAGAGCCCTATTTTTAACATATTTTTAAATGTTTAAAAAATCGCACAAAGTTTTCATATTCGTAATAACTAAATACATAATAACTTTGTTTTTAGGTATTTAATGCCCAAAACGTAACAGTATGAAATTAATATTCAACCATGCTTTAATTTGAAAAAAAACCCGTTAAGCATATCGAGGGGAAAAACGTACTGGATAAAAAAAAAGGAGTTTTTATATTCAAGTTACTTCGATAAAAAAAAATTGCGATGGCACATATGATTACACTTAACATTGTAAAATTAATAATTAAATTTCCTGCTCATTACTTCCAGTTTGAGACTAAAAGAAAAAAAGTACTTTCTATTAAAAGACTACATTTTAAACATTTTAAAAAAATAACAAAACCCATATATATACATTCTTTTCATTGATTCATTTTGTCATTTTAAAAATATTTACAGGCTATACAAAGAATAAATGATTATTGCGATGTCTGTTATATGCAATTGAAATTACTACTAAAAAAAAATGTGATAAACTTACACCAAGCACACTAGATGCCATATTCATTAAGGTGTCCTAAATTGAAAATTTTAAAAAAGTTTTAAATGCTTTTTAAGTCTAAAGATGTATATAGCTTGTAATTAAATTTTAAGGACGTTTAAAATTTTAAAAAATGATTAAACGTATCGAAGTGAAAGAAAAACAACTAACCATTCCTGATGATCCACTGGATTTCTAATAAACAAAAAAATATGTAAATGTCCAAAGTCACTTTTATTTGTTTTTTTTTTATCTTCCTCTTTTTGAAACAGATATTCAAATAACACAAAATATTAGGCATATAGTTAAAATATAGTTAAAATTTAGAATTACCTGCTCATTATTTTCTCCTTGTGACTAAAATAAAAAAAATATTGTGTTAAAGTAGACTTTATTAGAAAACTTTTATTCAAATATATATATATATATATATATATATATATATATATATATATATATATATATATATATATATATATATATATATATATATATATATATATATATATATATATATATATATATATATATATATATATATATATATATATATATATATATATATATATATATATATATATATATATATATATATATATATATATATATATATATATATATATATATATATATATATATATATGTATGTATGTATGTATCGCAAAATTCAACTAGGCACATCTTCTCGCCATTTCAGACAATGGAACCTGAGAAAGTCAGTTTTGTTATAATAATCTAATTAGTAATCTATTGTCATGTGTTGCTTTAGAACAGGGGTCTCCAAACTTTTCAGTCCGAGGGCCGCATTAACTATCAATTTTCAGTTCGGGGGCCAGTTTATTCCAGACATATCTTTGATTTTTCTGGGCAAAGTTCCTCAGCCATCACCAACAAACGTTTTTGCCGTACACAAAAAGATCGCCGCGGGCCGGATGAGGGGACCTTGCGGGCCGCATCCGGCCCGCGGGCCGTAGTTTGGAGACCCCTGCTTTACAATTATAAAAATATTATATAACTTAATCCATATGTCAAAGTTGTCAGCTGTTATAGTTTGTGGTTTATTATAGTCCTGGCACAAGGTATTTTAAATAATTCTAAGAACTTACAGTTACTGCCCATAGTACGCCAGTAGCCATATTCAGTAGAGAATCCTAGATTTTGAAATGTTTTAAAAAAGTAATAAAAAATTATACATGAATTTCTTATTCTACGGCACGGAATTTTAAAACAAAATGACAAATATAAAATTAAATGGAAAATGAAATTAATCTTGTTTTCATGTCGACAAAAAATAAATAAATACCGAATTAAACAAAAAAAAACGTACCATTCCAAAGGGGCCACTGGATTTCTAAAAATATAAAAAAGTAGTTTTTATATTCATGTTACTTCGATAAAAAATATTACAATGGCTCATATGATTACACTTAAAATTGTAAAATTAATAATTAAATTACCTGCCCATTACTTCCACTTTGAGACTTAAAGAGAAAAAAATACTTTCTATTAAAAGACTACATTTTAAACATTTTTTAAAATAACAAAACCCATATACATATATATATATATATATATATATATATATATATATATATATATATATATATATATATATATAATTTGTGTATGGAAACATTTCATATTTCAATAGGCAAACAATTCAAAACATTTTTGAGAACTTTAAAAAAAACATATAATTATCTTTTAACGTACTCTACATTTCATTTACCTCAATTTCAAAGCGGTCATTGAATCAATCTATTTTTTTTATTGTTTTCTACGTGCAGCTTGTAATTTGTTATTGTTATGTGATTTCTAATTTCTATACAACGGCCACACACCAGTAAATCTAAAAATATGCTGAACTTACAGCTAAACCTCCAAGAACACTAGTAGCCATATTCATCAGAGAGTCCTAGATTTTGAGAGTTTAAATAATATAAGAAAATGCCTAGAATGATTATTTTTAAAAACAAGAAATACATTTTGACTGTTTTTTAAGTCTTAAAATGCCCGAACTTATCAACATACAAAACAATTTTTCAAACTAACCATTGCTGAGGATCCACTGGATTTCTAAACAACAAAAAGAAGTTATATAAATTAAAAAATATATTTTATCATATTTGTTAAAGTACCATTTTAATTATAATATTTGTTGTGTTCATCTTAATTTGATAACTAATAATTGAATTGCAGATTTGATTATACTTAAATTATACAAATTAATTAAAAAAAATTACCTGTCCGTTATTTCTACTTGGAGACTGAAAAAATATATTATTAAAAAGTATAATATATTACATTAGAGATATACTAAGAGGTATATTTTCAAATAGTGTATTTATTTATTCACATAACTATATTTAAGTAGTCCGCATCTCAAAGCATTCTTTACGTTTATTCAATGGTTCGTTGTTTTTTTTTTTAATTTAAAGGTTGTAAATTATTGTTATGCCATTTCTATACAATTTGACACACAAAAGACAATCTAAAAATATGATGAACTTACAGCTAATCCTCCAAGAAAATCAGTAGCCATACTCATCAGAGAGTCCTAGATTTTGAGATTTACAACAATATAAGAAGAATAGTTCAATGTTTTCAAATTCTTAAAAACAAGAAATAAATTTTGACTGTTTTCAAGTCTGAATATACCCGCACTCATCAAGATAAAATACATTTTTTTATTGTGTCTTAAATTTAAAAAAAAAACGAAATGATCGCGTAAAAACAGCGAACTATTTCTGAGTGTTCACTAGATTTCTAAAAAGCAAAAAGAAACATATAAATAAAAAAAAACACCTGGAATTTAATAAAGTAGTTTAAAAATTCAATTTAATCATACTAGTTTTTGTATTCATCATACTTTTATCACTGATATTTGAATGGCACATACAATTACACCTAAAACTGAACAATTAAAACACGAATTACCTGTCCATTATTTCCACCTTGAGACTAAAACAAAAGTTCAATAAAAAGTAATTTATATATCTAAACAAATGAACTCATTTTACAATTTAACGCAAACACTTAATACACACACACACACTTACACACACACATACACATATATATATATATATATATATATATATATATATATATATATATATATATATATATATATATATATATATATATATATATATATATATATATATATATGTATGTATATATATATATATATATATATATATATATATATATATATATATATATATATATATATATATATATATATATATATATTACATTTCAGGCTATACACAGTATACATCGTTATTGCGATGTCTGTTATAAGCAATTGAAATTCACTACTAAAATAAAAAATGTGATAAACTTACACCAAGCACACTAGATGCCATATTCATTAAGGTGTCCTAGATATAAAATAAAAAAAAAACTTTTAAATGTTTTTTGATTCTAATGATGTCTGCACATAACAGCGTGTAATTACATTTTAAGGACGTTTAAAATTTTAAAAAATGTTTGAACGTATCGAAGTGAAAGAAAAACAACTAACCATTCCTGATGATCCACTGGATTTCTAAAAAACAAAAAAAGATTTAAATTTCCAAAATCACTTTAATTTGGTTATTTTTATATTCCTCTTTTTTGAAACAGATATTCAAATAGCACAAAATATTAGGCATATAGATAAAATATAGTTAAAATTTAAATTTACTAATGTGGTACGACAGATGTGGTACGTTTTTTGCAGGTATCAAACCTCACACTTTTCATATGCGCATCTACCGACTTCTTAATCGTCCGCATTGAGAATATCCGAACGTCAATCGTGTGAGTCAGATTTTTGTCTTAGCATCCCCTGACTGATTCATCGAAACACCAGGGATTCCATCCAGTGTTTCTTCCAGACTTTTTGCTCCTGGTGAGGGGGGGGGGGGGGGGGCACTTGAAATTTTTCGAGGCGGGGGGGGGGGCGGGGGGCGGTAGACTTTCTTCGGGGGGGGGGGGGGGCGGACACTGTTAAAGTATATATTTTCTATATAAATTATATAAATTTCATTTCGAAGAGATGCCTGGAAGAAACTCTGATTCCATCGAACCCAGGTTAAGAACCACTAATCTAACACGTACCACTTAGTGCATTCAAGTGTAAAGTTAAAAGATATTACATTAAACTTACCTTTCCGTCACCCAATGCTCCGTTTGCCAATGCAAAGAGAGAACCCTGTAAATATATTTTAAATTGTTGCAGACTTGGTAAAAAATGGCGATGGTAGAAGCACATAACTGAGTACGATGACTTTGTAATTAAGTAATATCAATTAACATGGCAGATGTTTCTGATCAGATCTGCTTGTACTATCGACAGCAGAGTTCGCTCCTCATGCATGAGTAAAATCCAAGTATGTTGTATGTTATAGTTTTGATAAACAGAGTTTCTTCCAGGCATCTCTACCGTCCGCCCCCCCCCCCCCCCCGAACGAAATAAAATTTATTTAAAAAATATATACTTTTAACAGTGACCGCCCTCCCCCCCCCCCCCGAAAAAAGTCTACCGCTCCACCCCCCTCCCCCCCGAAAATTTCAAGTGCCCCTCCGGATAAAAAAGTCTGGAAGAAACACTGTTGATAAATAATCCACTGCCATTAAAAATATCCTTTGTATTATGAAAATATATAATTAAGTACAGTTATTTTATTTTTATACTGTCTGTATTTTTAGATAACTATTTTCCTATGTAAATTATGTAGGCCTATTCTTCAGTTAATACACAATTTTATTTCATAGTTAGTTAATACACAATTTTATTAATACACCCCCCCCCCCCCCCGAAAATTTCAAGTGCCCCTCCGGATAAGAAAGTCTGGAAGAAACACTGTTGATAAATAATCCACTGCCATTAAAAATATCCTTTGTATTATGAAAATATATAATTAAATACAGTTATTTTTTTTATACTGTCTGTATTTTTAGATAACTATTTTCCTACGTAAAATATGTAGGCATATTCTTTTGTTTTTAAATGTTTTTTTTTTCTATTAGGTTGCAGAAAAGTTTTTTTCAAGGACTGACATCGCGAACTTCGACCTTTGCTTTAGTTACGACCATGCAATTTGCATCAGCGAAATTTGTTGGTTTTATTCATCAGATGATGCTACTGTATCTTAGGTAGCTTTACAGAGGTCGGAAAGAAAAACGGCTTAGACTGTTTTCTAATGTGAGATAGATCCGCACACATCAAATTTTGCTACAGGTGAATTTAGAAACAAATTAATTAATCAACACCATTTAGATATCATTTTTTGTCCATTTTTCCTTCTCGATTCTTGCGGAGTATAAGGCCACTTTCAAATGCAGATATAATGATTAGAAATTTAAATATTTATGGCTGGCGAATTCCTATTTCAACCAACAATATTTAACCCCACCCTCAAACATTTTTTAATTATTTTAAAAGCTCAGCTTTAGCCGTTATTTTATATTGTTAGAAACTTTTTTTGTGTGTACATTGCAATAAATGTTTATCAATATAGGATAGGCTACACAACGTTGAAGTAATTAGTCAATATTTTAGAAAAAAAAATCTTTTCCTAATACCATTATTTCTAAATTTCTGAATTCTTACTTTATATATATATATATATATATATATATATATATATATATATATATATATATATATATATATATATATTTATATATATATATATATATATATATATATATATATATATATATATATATATATATATATATATATATATATATATATATATATATATATATATATATATATATATATATATATATATATATATATATATATATATATATATATATATATATATATATATATATATATATATATATATATATATATATACATATATACATATATACATATATATATATATATATATATATATATATATATATATATATATATATATATATATATATATATATATATATAGTTGAAATACTTACTAAAGCGTCATTTTGTTGGGCTAGTGTAGCAGTCACCAACATCGATAGACCAACCAAGACGCAAAGTTTCATGATGGTTGTGTACCGTTCGACGGATTTTGGTCGATGGTTTTTGTAAGATGGGTTTTGGTCGATAGAAAACTGTAATAAAATTTAATTACGCTAAAAATATTGTCTAAAATTAAAGGGGGGGGGGGCGGGGTGACCTTAGCATTCTTTTCGTTTAGTAAATCTTATGTTTCTTCGAAGTAAGTCAAGTACCCTTTCAAACCTGACGGTCATTGGGGCTTATGAAGTAGAATTCGCCTATTTCAGTGACTCCGTCGTATGAATGGATAGTGTAGTTAGCACTAAACTCAGCGGAATTTACGTTCCTTAACGTAAGCCAGGTACCCATAAGAGCTGGGTAGACTCAGCGGAGTTATTTCATGATTACAGTGTATAAACAATTGTTATTTCATAGCTACAGTTTATACACAAAATTTATTTTATTGTAACGGTTTATAAGCAACTGTTTGTTCATAGCTACAGTTTATACACACATTTTATTTTATTGTTACGCTTTATAAGCAACTGTTTTTTCATAGTTACAGCTTATGCACAATTTCTATATCATAGTTACAGTTTTCACACAACTTTCATTTCATAGTTACAGCATATAAATAACTGTTATTTCATAGTTACAGTTAATACACAATTTTATTTCATAGTTACAGTATTAAGATAACTGTTATTTCATAGTTACAGTTAATACACAATTTTATTTCATAGTTACAGTATTAAGATAACTGTTATTTTATAGTTACAGTTAATACACAATTTTATTTTATAGTTACAGTATTCAGATAACTGTTATTTTATAGTTACAGTTAATACACAATTTTATTTTATAGTTACAGTATTCAGATAACTGTTATTTTATAGTTACAGTTAATACACAATTTTATTTTATAGTTACAGTATTCAGATAACTGTTATTTTATAGTTACAGTTAATACACAATTTTATTTCATAGTTACAGAATTTAAATAACTGTTATAGTATTACAAGATAGGAAAACATACCTTAGATCAGAAAGCAAAAACTATTTTCGAAAACAGGACAAACCTGTGTAAAGCTTAACATATTTTTCTTCAGTTACATCTATTTATACTATAGTACTGTAAGTTTCCTACATGTAATAACAACATGTGAAATAATTGCGTGATAAATTATACAAAGCAAGTAATTAGGGATGTGAGAGACAGGGAGGGGGGAGGGGTAGAGAAAGATAGTTCTATAAGGGCATTGTTAAAATATAAAATTTTAAATGGGAAAACGGGTGTTAAATATTACATTACATTTCTAATTACAATATGTATACAATTAATATCATCTTGAATGTCTTGAACGACACGTTTTGAAATACCATGTGTATTTCAATAATTATATACCTCATTAAAATATTGTATAATTATATACACAACCCCTAAATTAGCCCCGGGTTAGCGTGAACAATGATGGAATGGATGAAACATCTGAAAGATAAATAAGCTGGTGAGAACAGGGTCTACAATCATGATTATAGATTTATATGCAACAGCATAGCGTGGCTTATTAGAGTTTTTAAGCCATATTTTTATAGCGAAACAAAAAATAGTTTACAGAAGTTTTTAATATTTTGAATAAATCGTGGTTTCTTGATATATGAATTTAGTTCGTTACAAAATATATCTTGAACGTTTGCTAAGGTCATAAAGCAATTTTACCCTGTTGAGATTAATTAAAAAGCAATTAATCTGTTTCAGTTCCGAAATTCCAGCTCTGTTGTTGATCAAGTATTTTTAAAATTATGACAAATGTATTAACAAATGACAAATGTCATATAAAAACATAATATAAAGAGAAAGTAAAGAAATAAACTTGTTTATACAAGGTTTATAATTTAGAAATTAGCCGTACGATGTTGGCGGAGGTGTAGGGTAGATATATATATATATATATATATGGGGACAGGACAAATGATCTCAGGACAAATGAGCTCAGACAAAATATCTCACGGACAAATGATCTCAGGACAAATGATCTCAAGGACAAATGATCTTACGGACAAAAGATACCAGGACAAAATATATCAGGACAAATGATACCACGGACAATCGATCTCAGACAAAATATCTCAGACAAAATATCTCACAACTGAATTTTAATAGTGTAGTGGATGATTTTAGTTGATCTGAATGGTTATATATATATATATATATATATATATATATATATATATATATATATATATATATATATATATATATATATATATATATATATATTATATATGTATTTATTTATTTATATATATATATATATATATATATATATATATATATATATATATATATATATATATATATATATATATATATATATTTATATATGTATGTATGCATGTATGTATACTCTAATCACTTTAATAATAAGCTTTGAGTTTTACAAAATAAACGTCTATTATAAAAAACATTTTGATCTGCGATTCCGACCCCCACTCCCCACCCCCCAACCAAACAAAAAAGAAAAAATCAACTGGGATTTTATAACCTAGGGGCCCACCTGGATTTCTCTCGGTAGAAGGCGTGCTAGTCCACCCCTAACACCTAACCTGTAATTAATTTTTGCCGTGGCAAACTTATCTTGTCCAGACCATGATTCCCACGCTCCTTATGTGAAAACACACAGCAACTATCAGCAACAACCGTCCATTAGGCTAAACACTAGGTTAGGGGATTAGTGTTAGGGGTGTTAGGGGATTAGCGTTAGAGGTGTTAGTGTTTACCTGGATGTAGGTCAGCAACACCTAGATGCTGACTCGAGGATACTGTATTATGTTTAAATCTACTTCCAATGTTATCTAAACATTTAAATTTGGCGTTTTGTTTTTAAAATATAAGGTTAATGTTAAAAACAATGGTTAGAGGTAATCTCAAAAAATGATGTTGTAAGTATTGTTAAATATATAAATCAAAATGTTATGTATCCCGTAATTTAAAAAAAAAATGTGTTAAATGTAAAAGTAAGAAATAGAGTAATATTGAATTATTGATATGCAACTAACCGTAACATGGCCAAATTCCAAGCAAAATAATGCTTTTAGTTCCAATCCCATTACCTTTCACTGCAGTTATCCCTTCCGTCACATCGTATTATTTATATCTAATCAGTAAAGATTCCTATTTAGATTTTGAGATCCATTTGGCAGCGGAACAAGAATTCATGTTTCTTGAATTCGGCATATGAAAGGATAACGTGTCCAGCACTATGCCCAGCCGCATTTACTTTATCTAACGTAAGTTAGGTACCCAACAAAGCTGGGTGGACTCAGGGAAGTTCCACTGACTTGAAACCAGATTCGAACTCGAGACTTTCGGGTTAGCAGTTTAGGGCTGTACAACTAGACCACGCCATACCAGTTTATATCTAATACAGCATAATAAATGGTAATAATTTGTGTTCACTTTTGCGGGTTATGCTGCTAGGTACCCATCCGAGCTGGGTGGATTCAACGTAATTGAACGGATCTGAACTTGAGACTTTGAGGTTAATAGTCGTATGCTCAATGTGTGAAGGAACCTATTCGTGGTTTATTTAGATGAAGGCCTGTGGTATCGATACTAGTAAACAAGAGCTCCATACGTCATGCCGACAAAGGGGTATTGACAAAAGTACACCAAGGTATCAGACACGTGAAGTAATACTATTCACAAATACTTACTGGGTCTGTTCAAGTTTTTGTACTAGTTTATTTCATTTTTTTCATGTTCTCTTGATTTACCTCTTTACTAATGGTTTCTATAGTTACCTCCCTTTCCCACAATTTTTTTTTAACGTTTACCTTCCTTTCCCATTGTACTTTATTTAGTTTATCTCGCTTTCTCGCTGTTCTTTATTTTACCTCCCTTTTCCATTTTTATCTAGTTTACCTCCCTTCTCGCGTTTTCTCTTTATATCCTCCCTTTCTTGCGATTCACCAAGTTTAGGTATAAACGATGTTCAACTCTGAAAAATTATTAGCTGTCAATTTTATAAACTTTTACTGAAAAAAAAATTCAAAATTAAGTTATCCATTTTGACCCCACACCTACAGAAATACCACCAGTAACAGATTGCTGGAATGACAAATTCGTCTGGTGTTATGAGTTAGTTAAAATTTATTTGTAATGTATTTAAACGTTTATTACTATAAACGATTTTATTCTTTCATCATAGTTATTTACATCGTTATTAATTGAAAACCCGATATGGTTTCTATAAATAAACCACGTTTTTTAAATTTAAAATTACATACATTGTGGAACATTTTTACTATTAAATAAAACCTCGTTTTTTTAAAAGAAAATTTGTCATTATAAATCTAGCAACCTATGGACAGATGAAGTAGAGTTAATCTGCTCCTAATATTTCTATAAAGTTTTTTCTTTTTTCTTTCAGTTCTCACTCATAGGTTATCTAAACACTGGGATTATAGGTCATTGAGTCACCGTGGTTATAGGTCATTGGATCACTGTGATTATAGGTAATCAGATCACAAATCACTTTGATCATAGATCATCGATCATTGTAGTTATTACAACTCAACTTGTCAATTTCTTGTTATACAAGTAAATGTTCTTCAGTCAATCGTTTGAATCTGCCTCTTAATACAATCTTTTAATCTGTCTTGTATAAAAATTATATTCATTCACTCACTTTTAAATTAAAAATTTATTTGTGGTTAATTACCAAAACAAAATCGTTTAAAATGAACTTTTACTTCCTTTGCTTAAATTTATGCTTCTAAAATAACATGATTTTTGTTTGAAAAAAAATAATAAGTTTATTCATTGAAGTAAATTGTTTGGTGTATAAAACAGTTTGAACTAAAACGTTGAATTAAATCGACAGCCAAAACAAAGTAGATTTTAAATAAATAGAACAACGAAAAATTTGAAGCTATGTTTAATAACAAGCAAAAGTTTTAAAGATAAATAAACATTAACTTTGGTAGTTACTTTATTCTCAAATAAATTGGAAACAACGAGAAATTAATTTTGAAACAAATCGAATCAGTAGGAATTAAGAATAAAATTAGATCTTCATTTTCTCCACATCTTACAAAAAAAAATTGTTTTTGACGACGAAAGGCTTGACATCTTCACACGGCCAGTTCACTGTGTGTGAAATAGAAACAAAAGAATAAATTATTTGCTTAACATATATTTATTTATTCACGGCGTTATCTCCTGTATTACTATACTATCAGATGTTTATCATGCTATTGTTTACCTGTATTTCTTTAGTTCTTGTTTGATTTTTTACCCTAAAGATAAATAAATTATATATATATATATATATATATATATATATATATATATATATATATATATATATATATATATATATTTATTTATTTATTTATTTATTTATTTATTTATAAACATAAACTTTGAGAAAAATAAATGAGGAAAAAGTTTTCTGAAAAACAAAAAAAATCAATCTCTATAGAATAAAAATAATATAAGTTGAAAGAAATTTCACAATTAATTAATTAAGCTCTTGAAAAAAAACAGTGCAGAGAATAAAGAAATAGTTTAAAAGTGGTGGAATTGAAGATCAAACGGTACTTACACCAGTAAAGCTGTTCACCATATTCTCAAAACCAGTCTGTTAGATAAAATGGAGAATTTAAAACATTGTTTCATGATATTTAAAAAAAAATATTTCTTGAATGCATAGGTTTTAATCGACGCAAAAAATTAATCTAAAGAAACACCAACCTTAACCTCATTGACAACTCCTTTAATCTGTTAATTAAAAACAAAAAGAATTATAGATTTTTATGATATTTGTGTTAAAGGTATTTAAAAAAACACCTTATATTAAAAGTTGGTATAGTATACTCAACTTTTCTTAGTTTTAGTGTTTTTATATTTTATTCTTGATAATTTAAAAAAAAAATATTGTCAAATTAATTATGTATACACTATTTTTCTTTATAAAATAGTTATGCTTAAACTAATCTAAATTCACTTTCGAATACAAATAATAATATATATCATTCATTAAAATAACTCCAATCTTGTAAAACAGAAACAAATTCGCCTCTACAATGAATTACCAAAAGTTTTTATATGTTTTATTGAAAGGCTTTAACATTCATAGTTCGCTTAACTATGGTTTATTTCAACTATTTTCTGCAGAGATCCACCCAATATCTTTCAACTTAAGTATGCGTTAGCTAACAGTATGGTCGAATAGTAGAGCGTTTTGCTTCTCGCCAGAAGGTCTTGAGTTTGGACTAATGACTGTAGGACGTCCTGAGTCGACCAATCTCTGAAGGGTACCTGACTTACGTGGGGAAAGTAAATGTGGCTGGGCATAGTGTTGACCACACTATCTCTTTGTATGAGCTCTACTTCATCTGCCCAATAGAACACTAGGTCTGAAGAGGAATCTTTAATTTTTTATGCTTCAGAAAATGTATATATTAATTAAAAGCATGATAGCAAGGTGATTTCCATAATACGATAAAAAAAGTGTAATGACAAAATTTTAACAATGGAATACCTGGTCTTTTAATTGAAAACAGTCATCAATAGCATTATCAACATACTATCGGAAAATCTATTACCATATTCAATAATAAAATACTACCGTCACTATCAAGTAAATTGATGCTAAAATGTAGGATATTTATATCTATCTAAACTACTAATTTTGGATTACTTTAAAAAAGGTAAGTAAATTAGAAACATGTTTTACCGCGTCCTCTAGCGTAGGTTCCTTCTTCTAAAGAAATAAAGAGAAAAATGTTGCGGACATTTTAATTAGGCTAATTAAGAACTAAACATGTGGAAAATATCAAGTAATCTGAAAATTGATTTCTTTGTTAAAATTATCAATATACGACTCAACTAACCAATCAAATGAAAACTCTGATTGATGGAATATTTATATTACAGTATATTTATATTATAGTTTGTTTATATTACAGTATATTTATACTACAGTATATTTATACTACAGATTTATACTATGATTAAGATTTTTACTACAGTATATTTTTACTACAGTATATTTATATTGCAGTATGTTTGTATAACAACATATTTATACTACAGTATACCACTTTACAGTATAGTTATACTACAATATATTTATATTACAGTAGCCTATATTTATACACCAGTATATTTATACTATGATATATTTATATTAAATTACATTTAGATTTCTTTTAATTACAGTACATTTATATTACATGATATTAGTTCTACTGTATATTTTTATTGCAATATATATTTATAATACATTATATATGTATTAACAAATATATATACTTATTAGAATACGTACCTCCGTTTGTCGCTAAAAAACAACAAACAGAAAATTACGTTAAAAAAGTAAGTTAATTATGTAACTCAAATAAACTCAAATAATTAAAACTAGAAACATAAAAAATATTGCCCATGATAGTTTCTAAAAAACCCACCTCTTAGCCAACCTTTTACTTGAGTATTTTACCTTCTGATGTTAGATGAAGATTCTTTGTATTAAATTAAGAATTTTTTCTAATTATTAGCTCGCCCGTCTATTTGTACAAGTAATTAACTCAGTCTGCTAATTAAAACACCTATACTTAAATAATTAAATACTACGACTTATACACACCATCATCTGCTAATTAACATATTTGTACAAGTAATTAACTCAGTCTGCAAATTAAAACACCTATACTTAAATAATTAAATACTACGACTTATACACACCATCATCTGCTATTTAACATATTTTGTTAACTAATTAACATATCTTTGTCTTCTAATAAGCACACTTATTGCTAGGTAAATTAACACACCTTTTGTCTTCTAATAAACACAACTTTTGTCTTATAATTGGAACACATTTTGTCAGCTTATAAACACTGATTTTGTCATCTAATTAGCAAACCTTTTGTCAACTAATTTACAAACATTTCGTCTGCAAACATTTTGTTAACTATTTAAAACATCTTTAGTCCGCCAATTACCACATTTATTGTCAGCTAATTATTACACTTATTACCAGCTTCTTCTTCTTCGTTCTTAATTTTTAGTGTTGGAAGGGGTCGAGCCTTATCTGCCAGAGGGTTTGAACTCGAGACTTTTTTCGAATTTATGCGCCATTGAGGCCATTGACTCCGATTTAAGCCTGCTTTTCTTTTTGGATTTGATTCCATAGCCTTTGTCCAACCAAGAACAAACTACAGGCAGCAGTTGTTTTAATGTTGGAGTTGTCTCTCGTAGAAGAGTGGCTGTCCCCAGCTAACGAGCCTCATCTGCCCGAGATTATCAGCTAATTACCACATTTATTGTCAGCTAATTAACCCACTTTTTGTCAGCTAATTAACACATTTATTGTCAGCTAATTAACCCACTAATTATCAGCTAATTAACCAACCTTTTGTCTGCTGACGTTCGTGTCATTTCCCCCAGTCTTGTCCCCAGTAACAGTGACGTCATTCCCTTGAGTTTCTGTAGCGTTGGTCACTTCACTGTCCCAGGTCATGTTGACCTCACGACTGACCTCTGTGGTCACAGCTGGTGCCAGAGAATGTTTTGGAAGTCCACGGGCGTGGGATGTCTGGAACAGAAATCAATGGAGGGTCATCTGATTACAAAACTTGATAAATCAAATTTCTGTCTACCTCAAGTAGTCGATATGATCCTAAATTTGTTCTTAAACTTTTTTTTTACATGTTCTATGATGCGTTATGGAATATGTTACGGAAAAAGTTATAGGCTACAATTTGTTTTACATTTTTTTTGTGTTTACTGTGGTCTGCATTATTCCCTGTCATATAGTTCTTTGATCTTTAATGAAGTTCTAAAATTTTCTTAAATTTGTTCTACGATTAGTTCTTCAATATGCATAAAGTCAGTACACAATGAAATAGATGCGTTTGTTTACTGTGGTCTGCATTATTCCCTGTCATATAGTTCTTTGATCTTTAATGAAGTTCTAAAATTTTCTTAAATTTGTTCTACGATTAGTTCTTCAATATGCATAAAGTCAGTACACAATGAAATAGATGCGTTTGTTTACTGTGGTCTGCATTATTCCCTGTCATATAGTTCTTTGATCTTTAATGAAGTTCTAAAATTTTCTTAAATTTGTTCTACGATTAGTTCTTCAATATGCATAAAGTCAGTACACAATGAAATAGATGCGTTTGTTTACTGTGGTCTGCATTATTCCCTGTCATATAGTTCTTTGATCTTTAATGAAGTTCTAAAATTTTCTTAAATTTGTTCTACGATTAGTTCTTCAATATGCATAAAGTCAGTACACAATGAAATAGATGCGTTGCATCTGTTTAAATACTTGCTAATTAGGCACACAACAATCTTGAAGCAACGACAAACAAACCAATTGTACACCAACTACATAGCTTTTTCTATATAAAGCCACTCGACAGTTTGAAAAGAAAACAAGATACTTACTGATCCAGCTGAACGCTAAGAGGGTAGAAAAATGTAATTTGGTTAAGTTTTCATCCAATATTTAAATGTTAAACTCGACTAAGTAAGTCAGAGAGTTTTGATTCCAATAGGGTAAAATTAATAATTTTAATCATGATTATTTTTTACAATTACCAAATTTATTATCAGCTAATTAACCCACCTTTTGTCAGCTAATTAACCTACTTATTATCAACTAATTAACCCACCTTTTGTCTGCTGACGCTCGTGTCATTTCCCCCCGTCTTGTCCCCAGTAACAGTGACGTCATCCCCTTGAGTTTCTGTAGCGTTGGTCACTTCACTGTCCCAGGTCATGTTGACCTCACGACTGACCTCTGTGGTCACAGCTGGTGCCAGAGAATGTCTTGGAAGTCCACGGGCGTGGGATGTCTGGAACAGAAATCAATGGAGGGTCATCTGATTACAAAACTTGATAAATCAAATTTTTCATCGACATTAACATTTCAGTATCTATAATATAAGCGGTCAGGTAGTGTGTCAGTCAGTCCGTCCTTCAGTAATTGCTATAGATTCAAGAACCATATAAGTAAATAACAACACATGCCGTGCTTTTTACTTGCATTGCAATGTCTTATTATAAGTAAAGGAGTAGTTCTATTTCTGTAAGGATTTACTTTTTTTGATAGTCGTCAAAGTTTTTACTCTTTCGCGTATGTTAACAAAAGAAGGTGAAGAAAATATTAAATAAACGCACATTGCTAAAACATATTTAACAGATGAATGTCAAATAATATTTTCGCCTACATTTCTAGACAAAGTGATACATTTTAATAATAGTAGTGTAAAAAAAAACTAATTAATTAAAATGTTTCATAATTTTGCCAGGGGAGGTGATTAAAAATAAATTCAGCTCACGCTAAATATTGCAATTTAAAAAAAAAAAGGAAATGTAAATTGTCTGGACGTCGTGAAAGCATTATTCTTGGAATACAAGGCCTTTTTTGACAAAGCCATTTGTTAGAGCATTTGACTTTGTGTTTATGTTTGCGTTTGTGTTGTGTTTTGTGTTTGAATTATTTTTTTGCGTTTGTGTTTGTGTTTGCGTTTATGTTTATGTTTGTATTTGTGTTGTATTTGTGTTTCTTTTGTGTTAGTGTTTGTGTTTGTATTTGTGTTTTTGTTTGTTTTTGTGTATGTGTTTGTGTTTATCGTTGTGTTTGTGTTTGCGCTTGTGTTTTCTTTTCTGTTTGTGTTTGTGAATGCATTAGAGTTTGCGTTAGCGTTAGTTTTTACGATGGCATTTTCGTTTGTGTTCGTTTGCGTTTGTGTTTGTGTTTGTGTTTGAGTTTATTTCTGTTCCAAATTTGGTACATTTTAAAGGATTAACCAAGGCGGAGCACGTGTATACATTTAGAATTCCATATCACATTCTTAAACTTTTTGTACAGTGTGTTCTATGATGCGTTCTGGGATATATTACGGAAAGATTTGTGCAATTTGTTTTACAATTTTTTGTTTACTTTGGTATACATTATTTTCTGAAATATGGTTGTATATATCTTTAATGTGTTTTACAATTTGTCTAAACTTTCTTTAACAATTAGTTCTTCAATATATAAACAGTCAGTGCACAATTAAATTAATGCGTTGAATCTATTTAAAACCTTGCTAGTTGGGTACACATCACTCATGAAGCTATCAATTACAAAGGAACAAATTGTATAACAACCACACAAATCTAAAACCACCCAAAAATTGAAAAGAAAACAAAATACTTACGGATCCCGCTGATCGCTAAGAGGGAAGAAAGATGTACATTTGGTTTAGTTTTCCGCAAAAATTTGAATGTTCAACTCGACTAAGTTAGTCAGAGAATTTTGATTCTAATAGGGTAAAATTAATAATTTTAATCATGATTATTTTTACTATTACTAAATTTATTGTCAGCTAATTATCAAACTTATTGTCAGCTAATTAACCCACTAATTATCAGCTAATTAACCCACCTTTTGTCTGCTGACGTTCGTGTCATTTCCCCCCGACTTGTCCCCAGTAACAGTGACGTCATCCCCTTGAGTTTCTGTAGCGTTGGTCACTTCACTGTCCCAGGTCATGTTGACCTCACGACTGACCTCTGTGGTCACAGCTGGTGCCAGAGAATGTTTTGGAAGTCCACGGGCGTGGGAAGTCTGGAACAGAAATCAATGGAGGGTCATCTGATTACAAAAGTTGATAAATAAAATTTTTGTCAACATCTAGTTTTCGATCTGTTCCAAAACATGTTCTTAAACTTTTTTGTACATGTTCTATGATGCGTTATGGAATAAGTTACGGAAAATGTGTACAAATTGTTTTATAATTATTTTTTAACTGTTTTTCTGCATTATATTTAAAAATGTAGTATATTAGTCGTATATTAAATACGTTCTAAAATGTTTTCTAAATTTTGTTTTACAGTTAGTTCTTTGATGTATTTACAACCAGTGCACAATTAAATTAATGCGTTTTATCTGTTTAAATACTAGCTAATTAGGCACACAACAATCTTCAAGCAACGACAAACAAACCGATCTTATAACAACCACACTGATATAAAGCCAACCAACATTTGAAAAGAAAACAAAATACTTACGGATCCCGCTGAACGCTAAGAGGGCGAAAAAATGTACATTTGGTTACGTTTTCAGCAAAAGTTCAAATGTTCAACTCGACTTAATAAGTCAGAGAATTTTGATTACAATAGGGTAAAAATATAAATTTTAATCATGATTATTTTTACAATTACCAAATTTATTGTCAGCTAATTACCAAACTTATTGTCAACTAATTGCCACACTTATTGTCTGCTAATTACCACATTTATTATTATTAGCAAATAATAACATTTATTGTGAGCTAAATACCACACTTATTTTCAGTTAATTACCACACTTATTGTCTGTTGATTATCTCATTTATTGTCTGCTAATTACCACAATTTTTGTCAGCTTATTATCACACTTATTGTCAGCTAATTATTACACATATTGTCAGCTAATTACCACATTTATTTTCAGCTAATTACCACATTTATTGTCTGCTAATTACCACATTTATTGTCAGCTAATTACCACATTTATTGTCTGCTAATTACCACTTTCTGTCAGCTAATTAACCCACCTTTTGTCTGCTGACGTTCGTGTCGTTTCCTTCCGTTCTGCCCTCTACAAGAGTTACCTCGCCCACTTGCTTTTTTTCATCTTTGGTCACTTCACTGTCCCAGGTCATGTTGACCTCACGACTGACCTCTGTGGTCACAGCTGGTGCCAGTGAAGGTTTTGGAAGTCCACGGGTGCGAGAAATCTGGAACAGAAATCAAGGAGGGACATCGGATTACAAAACTTGATAAATCAAGTTGTTGTCTGCGCCCCCAACCCCACCCCTATACGGTGTCCAAGCGTCCTTCTCACGCGTCTTTTCTTTTGGATATCGTGGCTAGCAGACAAGACATGTTTTCACTGTCGAGCTAAGTCAAAAAATATGTTACTGTTTGTCTTTATTTGTCTAATCTGTAACCACACTGTTGTGTGCTGACGAAGACCTTGGGTCGAAACATCCATGGTACTTGTAACTGTCTTTAACTTGTGAGGTAACTAACACTATCTGTTTTATTACTAGTTGTTGTCTACTTCAAGTTTTCGATATGTTCAAAACATGTTCTTAAACTTTTTGTACAACATTTTCTAAGATGCGTTCTGGAATATGGTACGAAAAAAGTTGTGCAATTTGTTTTACAAATGTTTATTTACTATGGCCTACATTATTCTCTGAAATATGGTTGAGCAATCTTTCAAATATTGAATACTTTTTCTGAAATTAGTTCTACGATTAGTTCTTCAAATTTTTTATTAAAAGTTAGTACACAATGAAATTAATGCGTTGTATCTTTTTAAACTAATTAGGCATACAACACTCAATAACTCACAATCAAATCATTATAACAACCATACCAATCATTCAAAATTAAAACTATCCAGCAGTTTGAAAAAAAAACAAGATACTTACTGATCCCGCTGAACGCTAAGAGGGCAGAAAAATGTACATTTGATTATTTTTTCATCACAAATTAAAATGTTCAACTCAACTAAATGTAAGTCAGTTAATTTTGTTTTCTTATAAGAACATATTCTATTAGCTAAATAACACACTTCCTGCCTGCTAAATACCACACATACTGTGAGCTTATTAACACACCTTTCGACATTTAATTAGCATAACTTATGTCTCCAATTTTGCACACTTTTTGTAAACTAATTAACAAAACTTTAGTTCGCTGATTACCAAAGCTATTGTCATCTAATTAACCCACCTTTTTTCTGCTCATTACCACATTTATTCTGAACTAAGGACCTCTTTAATTATCAGCTAATTATCACATTTATTGTCAGCTAATTACAACATTTATTTTCAGCTAATTACAACATTTATTGTCAGCTAATTACCACATTTATTGTTAGCCAATTACCATGTTTATTGTCAGCTAATTAACCCACCTTTAGGCAGCTTATTACCTTATTTATTGTCAGCAAATTACCATATTTATTCTCAACTAATTACCATTTTTATTTTCAGCTAATTAACCCACCTTTTATCAGCTTATTACCACATTCATTGTCAGCTAGTTACAATATTTATTCTCAATGAATTACCATATTTCTTGACAGCTAATTAACCCATTTATTGTCAGCTAATTACCACACGTATTGTCAACTAATTAACACATTTATTGTCAGCTAATTAACCTACTTATTGTCTGCTAATTACCAAACTTATTATCAGCTAATCAACCCACCTTTTGTCAGTTAATTACCACATTTATTGTCAACTAATTAACCCACTAATTATCAGCTAATTAACCCACCTTTTGTCTGCTGACGTTCGTGTCATTTCCCCCCGTCTTGTCCCCAGTAACAGTGACGTCATGCCCTTGAGTTTCTGTAGCGTTGGTCACTTCACTGTCCCAGGTCATGTTGACCTCACGACTGACCTCTGTGGTCACAGCTGGTGCCAGTGAAGGATTCGGAACGTTACGGCTAATTGAGACCTGGAACCGAAATCAATGGGGGGGGGGGGGGGGGGGGGGGGATGGTCATCTGATTTAAGACGGGAGAAAAAAGGTCTTGGAGTATTTTTACAGAGAATAGTTGGTATGCTCAGGTACTTCAGTTCATCCTACAATACCTGCGTTATGTTCTGGAATTTGAAGTTCAATAATATATTCTACATTTTGTTCAAGAATTGAATAATTGGTTTTTCATTTTGTTCTACATTTAGTTCTAAAATGAGTTCTACATTTAGTACAACATTTAGTTCTAAAATTAGTTCAACAAGAAGTTCAACAATTACTTTTACATTTGATTCAACATTTAATTCAACATTTAGCTCTACAATTAGTTCTACAATAGTTCAAGCACTTAGTTCTACATTTTCACCAGTACGTATTGTTTCATGATGTGTTGTATCTGTTAAAAAACTGGCTAAGCAAACACAAAAAAACCTTGAAGCAATTAGTTACAACCAAAGCCAGCTTAACACCTACAAAGCCAGCTTCATACAAACAAAGCCAGCTTCATACAAACAAAACCAGCTTAACACAAACAAAAACAGCTTAATACAAACAAAACCAGCTTAACACAAACAAAAAACAGCTTAACACAACAAAACCAGCTTAACACAAACAAAAAACAGCTTAACACAACAAAACCAGCTTAACACAAACAAAAAACAGCTTAACACAAACAAAAAATAGCTTACCACAAACAAAACCAGCTTAACACAAACAAAACCAGCTTAACACAAACAAAAAACAGCTTAACACAAACAAAACCAGCTTTACACAAACAAAATCAGCTTAACACAAACAAAACAAGCTTAACACAAACAAAACCAGCTTTACACAAACAAAATCAGCTTAACACAAACAAAACAAGCTTAACACAAACAAAATCAGCTTAACACAAACAAAACAAGCTTAACACAAACAAAACCAGCTTAACACAAACAAAGCCAGCTTAACACAAACAAAAACAGCTTAACACAAACAAAAAACAGCTTAACACAAACAAAAAACAGCTTAACACAAACAAAAAACAGCTTAACACAAACAAAACCAGCTTAACACAAACAAAACCAACTTAACACAAACAAAACCAGCTTAACACAAACAAAACCAGCTTAACACAAACAAAACCAACTTAACACAAACAAAACCAGCTTAACACAAACAAAGCCAGCTTAACACAAACAAAAACCGCTTAACACAAACAAAACCAGCTTAACACAAACAAAGCCAGCTTAACACAAACAAAAACCGCTTAACACAAACAAAACTAGCTTAACACAAACAAAATCAGCTTAACACAAACAAAACAAGCTTAACACAAACAAAACCAGCTTTACACAAACAAAATCAGCTTAACACAAACAAAACAAGCTTAACACAAACAAAATCAGCTTAACACAAACAAAACAAGCTTAACACAAACAAAACCAGCTTAACACAAACAAAGCCAGCTTAACACAAACAAAAACAGCTTAACACAAACAAAAAACAGCTTAACACAAACAAAAAACAGCTTAACACAAACAAAAAACAGCTTAACACAAACAAAACCAGCTTAACACAAACAAAACCAACTTAACACAAACAAAACCAGCTTAACACAAACAAAACCAGCTTAACACAAACAAAACCAACTTAACACAAACAAAACCAGCTTAACACAAACAAAGCCAGCTTAACACAAACAAAAACCGCTTAACACAAACAAAACCAGCTTAACACAAACAAAGCCAGCTTAACACAAACAAAAACCGCTTAACACAAACAAAACTAGCTTAACACAAACAAAACCAGCTTAACACAAACAAAACTAGCTTAACACAAACAAAACCAGCTTAACATACCCAACCACTCAAACCTAAACCACGTGACATTATCAAAAAAAAGGTGAACTACTTACAGATCCGAATGATCTCTAAAATAAAATTAAAAAGTTGACTCAGTTAAGGAAAATTCAATGAAATTCTTTTCAAAATCGGTAGGGTATTCGGTGATTGACGTCGTGGTTGTATGATAGAACTCACGATTGCTAACCCGAAAGTATCAAGTTCGGATCCCGTCTCGAGTCTAGAGCACGTCGTTGGGTTAGCCCAGCTCTGATGGGTACCTGCCTCTTGTTTTAAGGGGGGGGGGGGTGTGGGCGCAGTGCTGACCTATGTACATCCTCATATGCCTGAGGTCATTAAAGAAGATGAACTCTACTTTATCTAACCCATGTGTGGTGGGCACAAACGGGACAAAATATAACAAACTTTTAATGATATTCTTGATCACATTCTTGATGATATTGATAATATCGGTGATGATAATCATAATGATATTAATCCTAATGATGACGATGAATATGAAATTTAAGGATTAAGTATGTGGACAAAGACGAATAGTAGATAACATTTTATTCATGGACATATGGAATTCTGATAAAAATATGTTGGATGTATTAAATGTATGAATTAAATTTTATTTAAAGACAGAAAATAAAAATAGGGGTTTATTTTGGTTTGATTGTATATAGTTTGATTATTAGTTTGATGGGGAAGTGAGTTTTTAAAAAATATTTAACTTGTATTGAACGAAGAGATCAGCTGGGGGCAAAAGTCGTTTGAGGCAATCTTCTTAGTTTAAGTACGGGAGTTGGATCATTTTACACCTAGCTGTTGTGAGTTGAATTCAGAGTAAACAAATATTCAAATACTGAGTTACCTTGCGTCTTTCTTTATTGCCTTCTTCTTTACCCTGTGGGGATATAGAATCAATCTTTAATTAACGAACTACACAAGTGCTATAATTGATAATTGTACATTAGGTTGAGGGTTGAAGGAGAGGTGGTAGGGCGATGTGATAGGTTGGGAAAATACAGGAAGGAGTATAGAAACATGATGTTACATCATAGAGCTAAATGGTTAGTACTGATATTTCTTTTGTCCTAAAAAAAGTAATTTAGTTTATTCTTTATTAAGCGGAGTTTTGAATAGCAAATACTGTCATATTACTGAAATATAATTTTACAAATCCATGTTTAGTTTGGGTGAATTAAGACTTCTAATAAAAATTCAAAGGGCTTAATAAAATACTGTATTAGTAGAGTACTGATTTACTCATTATTGTGTGGAAATTCTTTTCTCAATTACTTTTTGTTTTGCCTACCTACAATCTACATAGACATTAAAAGTAGATTAATGAGTTAATTAATTTATCAGCTTTGATGGGTACCTAACTCACGTTAGGGTAAGTAAAGGTGGCTGGGCATAGTTCTGACCAAACTATCCCTTCATATGCCGAGGTCACAGAAACAAGTGAACTCTACTTCACTTGCCCCGTAGACCGCCAGGTTTGAAAGGGAACTTGACTTACTTTACTTTAACATGATTTGTACAGCAGAGCGGGAGAAAATTGAATATCAATCGTCAAATAGTTCAAATTATAAAATATGTAATTGAAGAACATCGACCTTAAGTCAGAAACAAAAGCAGCTTCGGATTATCTGCTGACCGGGACAAGTTTAAAAATAAAACAAAAATGGAAACAAATATTTACGTGTTTTCCTTTTCCTTTATCTTTGTCCTAAAATAAGAAAAACCAACCAAACCATATATTGTGTTAGCTTCGATGGAGATTGAATTTAAATAAAGGGTAAGCATGTGTATAGAATATTAATCTAGAATAGATATGTATGACATGTGTGGTAGATAAAAAACAAATAAAGTTTGTTTACATGTGTCAGATACAGTTGGACATATTTTACGTTCATATGTTTTTCTATCTATCACATACAGTGTATGAGCCATTTTAGTGGCTTAGATGTTCAGATAAATATAATAGAAATATTGATACATATTGGATAAAGTAAAACAAAATTTAAAAAGTTAAAAGGTTTCCACATTAGAACTTCTTTAGTTAAGAACACCAAAATAATTAATATACACTTCATGTGTTTTCCTTGTTTTACTTGATATGAGCTTATTAATAATCCCTTTAATCAATATACAATACGCGAGTATTTCTTTAGATTTGAACACCACAAATAATATTTAACACGTTTTCCTTGTTTTACGGGCCAAGAGTCAATACTTATTATTTAACCTGTATATAATATAAAGGTGTATTTGCTAAGAGTACATTATTTTTTTATATATATTTTTCGTGGACGGCCAAACAATTAGCCACAAACATGGCCGTCAAATTAACTTACCACAACCTTAACCGTCCAATCAAATGACCACAAGTACGGCCGTCCAATGAACTTACCACAACCATGGCTGTCTAACCAACTAACCACAATCATGGCCGTTTAGCCAACTAACCACAAGCATGGCCGTCCAATTAACTTACCACAACCATGGCCGTCCAACCAACTAACCACAACCATGGCCGTCCAACCAACTAACCACAAACATGGCCGTCCAACCAACTAACCACAAACATGGCTGTCTAACCAACTGATCACAGCCATGGCCGTCCAACCAACTAACCACAACCATGGCCGTCCAATCAACTTAACACAACCATGGCCGTCCAACCAACTAACCACAACCATGGCCGTCCAATGAACTTAACACAACCAGTGCGTCTGAAAGTTTGTACTCACCTGCTCCTCGCTGGATCCAGAACTGTTGTCGTCATCCTGCAACATACATGTACATGTACAGGTGTGTGTACAGGTGTGTGTACATGTGCGTGTACAGGTGTGTGTACATGTGCGTGTACAGGTGTGTACAGGCGTGTACATATGTGTGTACAGGTGTGTGTACATGTGCGTGTACAGGTGTGTACATGTGCGTGTACAGGCGTGTACATATGTGTGTACAGGTGTGTGTATAGGTGTGTGTACAGGTGTGTACATATGTGTGTACAGGTGTAAGTACAGGTGAACAAGTGTGTACATGTGTGTACAGGTGTCTACAGGTGTGTGTATGTGTGTATATGTATGTGTTCAGGTGTGTGTACAAGTGTGTACATGTGTATTTGTTCAGGTATGTGTACATGTGTACAGGTGTGTGTACAGGTGTATGTACAGGTATGTGTACAATTGTGTGTACATGTGTGTACAGGTGTGTGTACATAAGTGTACAGGTGTGTGTATATGTGTATATGTATGTGTACAGGTGTGTGTACAAGTGTGTACATGTGTGTACATGTGTGTGTACATGTGTGTGTACATGTGTGTGTACATGTGTGTGTACATGTGTGTGTACAGGTGTGTGTACAGGTGTGTGTACATGTGTGTGTACATGTGTGTGTACATGTGTGTGTACATGTGTGTATACAGGTTATAAAAATTATTTAATATTCTTTTGAATAAATTATGAATTAAATCTCTATATAATGTATCCATAATAACATTTTTAAAAGTCAATGCGATATGGATTTGAGATTTTTTTTTAATGCGATAAAAAAGCAAAAAAATAATACAGAACGTCAAAAAGGAGTTTCCCAACATAAATTAACTAGTGATACTTACATCCTTTGTTGAGTTCTTCTTCTTCACGTTCTGTTAGAAAAAAAAATTATAGGATAATTTAAACACATCAGGTCAACGTGATCACCAGCTAAAGTTTAATGATGTACCATTTGTTTAGGTAAAGGTTGTGGGTTCGGATCCATGTTAGCGCTACTCTTATCAGTTTGACAGAAACCTGCTTGGTTGATCTAAGGAGCGGCTTGGTTGACGGATTGAGTACTCCATTACTAACACGGAAGTCTAGAGTTCGGATCCGGCCTCAAGTCCGTAGAACGTACATGCGTCTCCAAACTTTGATTGGAACCTATTTTGTCTACCCATATCATATGGGTATCTAACTCTACTCCACCGTGCTCTGATGGGTACCTGACTCGACTCCACCCAACTCTGATGGGTACCTGACTCTAGTCCACGCAGCTCTGATGGGTACCTGACTCAAGTCCACCCAGCTCTGATGGTTACCTGACTCTACTCCACCTAGCTCTGATGGATACCTGACTTTCCACTAAGCAGCTCTGATGGGTACATGACTCTACTTCACCCAGCTCTGATGGGTACATGGGCTCCTGACTCTACTCCACCCAGCTATAATGGGTACCTGACTCTACTTCATCGTGCTCTGATGAGTACCTGACTCTAGTCCACCCAGCTCTGATGGGTACCTGACTCTAGTCCACCCAGCTCTGATGGGTACCTGACTCTAGTCCACCCAGCTCTGATGGGTACCTGACTCTAGTCCACCCAGCTCTGATGGGTACCTGACTCTAGTCCACCCAGCTCTGATGGGTACCTGACTCTAGTCCACCCAGCTCTGATGGGTACCTGATTCTAGTCCACCCAGCTCTGATGGGTACCTGACTCTAGTCCAACCAGCTCTGATGGGTACCTGACTCTACTCCACCTAGGTCTAATGGATACCTGACTCTACTCCACCTAGCTCAGATAATTATGCAAACATCTCTACTGGTATCAAGCAAATAAAGTGAAGTCAATACTCACCAGAATGTTGCGATCTGGGCCCTGAATAAATTACGAAAGTTATTTAATTAACTAATTATCTTGATTAATTTGTCTTACAACTAACTTCTCTTCGTTTCAGACCAACACGAAAATTTCGCACACATTTGTTACAGATGCACATTTCTTTCACTTGCTCTATTCTGTTGACTTTTATAGCAATATCTTTTGTAGTTGTCTGGTCTATTTCGTTTTTGAAAATTTTCCTTCTTTTCATCCAATCTTTCATACCAATTCAAATATATATATATATATATATATATATATATATATATATATATATATATATATATATATATATATATGATTGCAGGACAAATTACTTCACGGCCAAATACTCTCAGGACAACTAATAATACAAAAAATTATCTCAAGGACAAATGACCAAAAGATAGGACAAAATATATCAGGTCAAATGATACCATAGACTATAGACAAATGATCTCAGATAAAATATCTCACGGCGAAATAAGTATAGATCTAGTATTTGAGATTAGACAATTTTTAAAATAAAAACAAAATGACTGTCTTTCGGTTTATTTTAACATCTTTTAAACATGATAATCTTAGTAACAAGAAAACAAACACTTGTTGGATTTAATGACGAGCAGGAAGTATTGTTTGCAGTTAACTTTCATTATTTCTTGCACCACATCTATCTATATACTACTAAAAGTCAAGTTTGTTTACATGTTTGAATATTTATTTTTTTGTTTTTTTGTTTGTCCGATCGAGTATTGTGATATGTTCGACTCTATCTGGAGAGCTGTAAAATAGTATGTAGGTAGAGAATAATTTTTTAATGCAGACAGACTGTTAATCACAAATTTATTTAAAGACGTTAATTAATTTATTGATTTATTCATAGGTAGATTAACCCATTTTTTTTAAAAATGTTAAAACATTGACTAAACTTTGTGGGAATAGTGACGTCCCTTGATGTGTTTACTTTTTGGTACAATAAAAATGGCGGACTCCATCATAGACTTTGTGGCCCATTCAAAAGTTTAACGCGTTACAAAGCTAATTTTCTGCCTGCTATAACTTAAACAATACGTCCGTTTGCTGTATTTATTACGTTCCAACACTTATATCAATTTTAAACTGTCTTTTTTCATTTAGTTTTAGAATAAATTTCTCTAGATCTAAACATCAGCTGTCGAAGGAAAGTTATGAATCTAGAATCTAGCCTAGGGCCTAGATTCTAGATCTAGACTAGATTTATCTAGATCTAGATCTAGGTCACTAGACTCAATGTAAATTCTAGATCTAGACTTAATGTAAATTCTACATCTAGAATCTATTTCGGGCCTTCATTATTTTATATAAATCTTTGTTTAGCTTCAATGATCATCTAATTCGAGAATACATGGGATTTTTTTGTTATCTAGGTTCTATGTCTGATATAGTAGGATTACTCACTAACTTGGAGGCGTGGTCGGCTGCTAACAACAATATGGCGTACGGACCGGACAAATGACTTCCGACCATTTTTAGGCCATGTTTACCACGAGCAAAATGGCGGGTGTTCACATTATTTAAACATGGTATAGGTGGCCAGGGCTTGATATGCCAGAAAAGCATTTTAAAATTTGCTTTGGAGAATGAAGGCTAAATTTTAAAGTCAGTGTCATAAACATTAATAGAACTTTTTTTTTTTTTTTACGTTTTCAATTATTTTTTCTTAAGCCCTATGTGTGAATGATAAGGTTGACTATCAGGACCTCGCGGGGCACAGGGCAGGTGAAGTAGGGTTCATCTGTTTCTTTGTCCTAAGCAAATGAAGGGATAGTGTGGTCAGAGACATGCTCGGCTGGAATCGTTTTTGTTGTCTGAGACTTGGCGGGACACTGGGCAGGTGAAGTAGAGTTGAGTAGGTCACCTGTGACGTCAGTATATGAAGGGATATTCCGAAATCGTTGTTTTCGGTGATTTTAAAAGATAAAAAACATATTTTTGAATGTGGGGTCTGTTTTTTGTGACGATAAGTGACACTGCAGTAGCGTAGCGAGGAGGGGGGAGGGGAGGCGGGGGGGGGGGGGGGGGGGAGGGGAGGCGGGGGAGGTGAAGGGGGGCGGGGGGGGGGGCATATGTTGGGGCGCCAAAATGGTTTGGAAAAATAAATTGAAAGGTTGAGCGGGGTTCAAATGGAAAGTTTGAGTGGGGGGGGGGGGGGGGGTGCACATCAAAAGTTTGAGGGGGGGGGGGGTTGAAAATCGAAATCTTTGGGGGGGGGGGGTTCAAATCGAAAAGTTTGTCCCCGGGCGCCGGGAAGGGTCGCTATGCCTCTGAGTGACAGATGTGTTGTTTTTTGATGGATGACCCCCGAAACCCACAGTTATCCAACGGATGACGGGTATTCTAGTATACTACTAAAAGTCAAGTTTGTTTACATGTTTGAATATTTATTTGTTTTTTTGTTTGTTTGTTTGTTTGTTTGCCTGATTGACTATCTCGCACGGTTGCACTCATCGTGGAAAGCTGTAAAATAGTATGTAGGTAGAGAAAATTTTTTGTTTTAAGACAGACTGTTAATCACACATTTATTTAAAGACGTTAATTAATTTATTGATTTATTCATACGCAGAGTAACCCATTTTTTTAAAAAAGTTTAGAACGACCACTACACTCGGCGGGACCGTGACGTCACAGTTTTTTGTTTACTCTTTAGTACAGGGGTCTCCAAACTACGGCCCGCGGGCCGGATGCGGCCCGCAAAGTCCTCTCATCCGGCCCGCGGAGATCTTTTTGTCCAAGGAAAAATCGTTTGTTGGTGATGATGAGGAACTTTGCGCAGAAAAATCAAAGACATCCCTGGAAGAAACTGGCCCCCGAACTAAAATTTGTTAGTTGATGCGGCCCTCGGACTGAAAAGTTTGGAGACCCCTGCTTTAGTACAATAAAATGGCGGCGTCTATCGAAGAAAATTGTGTTCCCATTCAAAAGTTTAACGCGTTCTAAATCTAATTTTCTGTCGGTCATAACTTTAACAATACGTCCGTTTGCTGTATTTATTACGTTCCAACACTTATATCAATTTTAAACTGTCTTTTTTCATTTAGTTTTACAATAAATTTCTCTAGATCTAAAGATCAGCTGTCGAAGAAAAGTTATGAATCTAGCCTAGATCTAGATCTAGCCTAGATCTAGGTCACTAGACTCAATGTAAATTCTAGATCTAGACTTAATGTAAATTCTACATCTAGAATCTATTTCAGGCCTTAATACATCTAGAATCTATTTCAGGCCTTAATTATTTTATATAAATCTTTGTTTGGCTAATTTAAGATAAAATTTAATTTGAAAGTTACTAGATTCTACTACTAGACTTAGATCTAGATCTATGCGCGGAGACTCAAAAGTATAGTATAAAAATTCATTTGTGACGTCACGAGTAAATAGCTAAGTTGTTAGCGTAGTCCGCTCTCATGCGGGTGGTACAGGTTCTAGACCAATATGTCAATGATCTTTTTTTTTCAATTTTTTTTTTTAGATGTGAATGATAAAGTTGCCTATCTGAACTTGGCAGGATACAGGGCAGGTGAAGTAGAGTTCATCTGTTTCTTTGTCCTAAGCATATGAAAGGATAGTGTGGTCAGAGACATGCTCGGCTGGAATCGTTTTTTAAACGATAAAAACATGTTGTCTGAGACTTGGCGGGACACTGGGCAGGTGAAGTAGAGTTGAGTAGGTCACATGTGACGTCAGTATATGAAGGGATAGTCAGAAATCGGTGTTTTTTGTGTTTTTAAAAGATAAGAAACATATTTTTGAATGTGGGGTCTGTTTTTGTGACGATAAGTGACACTGCAGTAGCGTAGCGAGGAGGGGGGGGGGGCGGGAGGGGAGGTGGAGGGGGGGCGGGGGGACATATGTTGGGGCGCCAAAATGGTTTGGAAAAATAAATTGAAAGGTTGAGGGGGGTTCAAATCGAAAGTTTGAGTGGGGGGTGCACATCAAGGGTTTGAGGGGGGGTAAAAATCGAAATCTTGGGGGGGGGGGGGGGTTAAAATCGAAAAGTGTGTCCCCGGGAAGGCTCGCTATGCCTCTGAGTGACAGACGTGATGTTTTTTGATGGATGACCCCCGAAACCCACAGTTATCCAACGGATGACGGGTATTCTAGTTATTAATAAAAATACTGTCTTTTTAAATTAAACTACAGTTCAAAGATAATAAAAAAAAAGCTAATCTTCAATGAGTAGACAACATTTAATATAAGAATAATTGTATACTTAATATGCAATATAAAAAATAAAGTTTTTAATTTGTACGATCATTAAATTTTACAATTATTTAAATAAAGGGTTGTCTCCCGTAGTTAATTCACCTTCTAAAAAGGGAAGTAATTAACAGAAATAAAACATGCTATGAGGTAGGATGCAGAGGCATAGTGGCTCATTCCGGCGTAGATAATTATCAATTTAGCGCCCCCTAATTGTGTATAGTTATAAACTGTGACGGAAAAAAAGTTTTTGTTTTTGTGGCCTACAATCGATGTAGAAAAAATGTAAGTCTGTTAAGCCAAGTAGCAGTCTATTTTCTTGACTTCGACTGTGTAGAATTCAGTTAAGAATCTCAGGATTTGTTTTTTTTACCCGGTCTGGCGCCCCTCTTTAGGGTCGGAGCCGGGGCGCCCCCCCCCTACTCTCCCCTAGCTACGCCTCTGGTAGGGTTCTTGCTAAATAATGTCACATTTTTTGTGATGTAAAATGTTCACATTCTCTCAACACGTAAAGGGGGGGGGGGTAAATGTGACGTCATATAATTTTTTTTTTTGCATTTTTTAAATTTCTTTTTTAAATTGAATTTTATAAGTTATATTTTCATTTTTAAAAAACAAGTCTTATAAAATTTGTAATACAAGTATTTTAATATAGATGTATAGATTTAGTTAGACTTGATCCAGTACATGTTTTTTCGAGAAATTCTCGTTTCAAGGACAGGTGAATTGATATTAGGGTTGGTTTGACTTATATATAAGGATATGTGAAGATAAAAATGCGGGGGGGGGGGGGGGTTAATTTTACAATAAGTGTAACTTTATTAACTTTATTATGAATAACCTCTAAAAAACGGTACGGTTGTCAGTTTCTTCTGGGAAGTTTGGGCACTTTGAAGTAATACAAGTCAGTTGCGTCACAATGCGGAGCTGGGCTGTACTGCTCAGACCCAGTGACGCCACAGGTGCAAGTCAGTTGCGTCACAGATAGGGGGTTGCCAACACCAGGCACACCCGACCTTGTGACGCCATAAAATATTTAATACATCGATATAGTTAGGTTATTGGATATGGATATTTCATGAGTGATTATTATAACTAAGTTTAAATCTGTTTGCGTTAGTTTGTTTCTTGTCTCTGTTAGTACAAGTGATAGAGACAAGATAATTAGCTTAATTAATTACTATATGACATACCGAGTTGTTTTTCTTCCCTCCTTTTTTACAATTGGGCTGTGGAGTATGGATTCAAAGTCAAGGATAACATTTAGAATAGAAATCGTCTGTGGTGATTCATAGGAAACTTGTTTTAATAACAGATGTTAGTGTCATATGGCCATTATAGTGTGTCATTACCTTTACAGTATAAGATGGCCTTTTCATGTGGCATTTGTAGCTTCAGTGTCAGACGGCCCTTATAGTGTCATATGGCCCTTATAGTGTCAGATGGCCCTTATAATGTTAGGTGGCCCTTAAAATTGTCACTGTCAGAAGCCCCTAATAGTGTTCTTGTCAAATGGCTCTTATAGTTTCAGGCGGCACTAATAGTGTCATAGAGCCCTTAAAGTTTTTGTGTCAGATGGCCCTTATAGTTTTCGTGTCAAATGGCCCTTATTGTGTCAATGGCCCTTATAGTGTTAGTGTCAAATGGCCCTTATAGTTTCTGATGGCCCTTATATTGTCAGATGACACATAAAGCACAGTGTCAGCATCAATCAACCTTATAGTTTCATTTCTTCTTTAATCAAAGTCAATTCTTTAATAAATCAGTCGATTCAATCATTAACTAATTAAACAAAATAAAATCTTACTGAGCACTTAACATAAGTAAGGGCCACAACGCCTATAAGCAAAAGAAGTAGAACACACTTTGAATTCATTCTAGGGAGAGAAAAAAAATCATTGTAATTGGTAAACGAAACAAATTTCAAGTTAAGAAAAAATTTATTCATTAGCCCTATAGACAAACTTAAATGTCTACACAACCTGGACAACTATGTTCAAATAATCCTGGTTAAGGGAAGTTAAAAAAGTTTTAACTTTTGAATGTTAAATAAATCTAAGCAGTAGATACATCTAGCACTGTAGCATACTCATTTGTTACTTGTTATGTGATAGTCATAACAATGTACTCTGTCTTTCTCCTTTATTTCTAAATATTTGTTGAGAACAAACCTCTTACATATAAAAAACTTAAATCTTAAATGCTTACATCAACGGGAGATAGATATACTTACTTCAGCCAATGCTAACTCAATAAGCTAAATGAAACAGAGGAACTCACCTGAGCTAATGCTAACGACAAGCTCAATGAGCTAACTGAAACAGAATAACTCACCTGAGCTAATGCTAATGACAAACTTAATGAGCTAACTGAAACAGAATAACTCACCTGATCTAATGCTAACCACAAACTCAATGAGCTTAATGAAACAGAATAACTCACCTAAGCTAATGGTAACAACAAACTCAAGGAGCTTAATTAAACAGAGGAACTCACCTGAGCTAATGCTAACGACAAACTCAATGAGCTAAATGAAACAGAATAACTTACCTGAGCTGATGTTAACTCCTAACTCTGAGCTGAAACAGACTTAGGTTCCCTATACAAATTATGCACGTGATTCTTATTAGAGCCGTAGTCCGCGGTGGGGCGGGGAAGCGGGGCTGTTTTCACCTTCAGGACGTATACCCCCAACCTCACCCCCCCTCCACCCCCCACCCCCTCAGTGTCCCATGGTTTCTGTCCACGTCGTTGACCCAGACGCCAGTGAACCCATTACCGTCTGGCCCCTGTCGTCATTTGACGTCAGAAAACTTAAACACCAAACAATTATCTTAAAGGATAATTTGCTAACATGTAATTGCTTGCATTGAAAGAACGGGAGTATTGTAAACGCGGGGATTTGGACATTACACAAAATATAGTTTTGAAGTATTTAGTTTAATCTGCGTGCTCTTTAGTTAAGTTAAAGCGCTCTCTACACTAATCCCAGGTGTTAACGAAATTGGAGGAGTGCCCTGATATCCCCATCCCGATATAAAACTAAGGGGTTAACCCCTGATATACCACCCTTCCATGGAGCCACGTCCCTCATCCCCACCCCTTTATTCATAATTCAAAGGGTTTATTAATAAAAATACAATATATTGTTGAGTTCTTAAATAATTCAATATGAGGTTTATTAGTGGGGTTTACTTCAGACATTTTTTTCAAGGGGGGTAGCTCTCGAAACATCCACATGGGGGGGGGGGGGGGGCACATGAGACTCCACTCCCGGGGGCAAACAAGGGTTAAAGTAGGCCCATATAGGCCTAGTTTCTTTATACATTTAATTTTATTTGACTGGAAGATGGAGGGTGGGCGTGATTCGGGATGACCCCCCCCCCACCCCCTCTGGGGGCACGACCTCTAGCCCTAAAATAAATTTAAATAAATACTGTTTTATTGGATAGTTTAGCAGTTATAAAATGTTTTTATTTAACTGTCAGGCATTGATGTTAATAAAATTTATCAACAACATCGTTTCTACCGTAAATTATGCGAGATTATTAAAATAAAACCACCAATAATATGTGTGGTAGTCGAAATTCTGTTTAGATTAGTTTGGCAGATGTAGTAGAGTTCACCTTTTTAGGTGACCTAGGCATAAGTTTGAATGCCTTTATGGTCGGTCGTCATTAATTTCACCGATAAGACTCAAGTGTGTATCAGATGTAGGTGAACTCATGGGGTCAGGGTGAACTTACGGAGTCATAGGTCATCACCCTTCATATTATTTCTAGAGTAGCGTCCCTTGACATCAAGGCAAAAAGCAAATAGGTACTGACAAAATAGTGTAAATTTATAAAGAAAATTATGAGTATGTATTAGTGAAGACAATTGCTCTTCGTGTCTTTTAAAGAATGAATTTCAAAAACCTAATATTGCGTTTAAAATATTAAAATTGTCAGATATTTGTGGTGATTAATTCGTCTAACACCAATGTTTAGCAGAAATATCGCCCAAAAATTACGGATAAGAAAGTTAAAAGGAAACTACTTGTTATTAATTCTCAAAAACAATTTCTAATAAATCGTGGTTTGTGTTTGACGATCCTTTAAACTATCGTGCAAACTTTCCTGTGAAAAAGTAGTCCTGAAAATAGTGTATTTGTTTACAGAAACCACCACTTGATTGCATGTAATAAGAGTAATTATATTTAAACCACTACCTCCCCATTGATATCGGGGAATTAAAGGAAAGGTTTAGAAGATGATGGGAACTAAGGATTGAAACGTAAGCTTTAAAATATAACTTTTTGCTTTTTGTGCTATTTTCACAATTATTACTTTGCTGATTTTGTAATAGGCCGTGCCACCCCCCAACACCCCACAAACACACACACACACATCATCATACAACAAGATGTGCGTCAAACACAAGACACGCCCCTGGTCAAGTTTGAAAACTCTCAACATTTGGAAATAACTTAGACAATATGTTACAAAAATTACCTTAGACTTGTCAGGTAGGTAGGTGGTCACAGATCACGTGATTTTGGTCAGGTAGGTGGGCTGGTCACAGATTGTGATTTTGGTCAGGTAGGTGGGCTGGTCACAGATTGTGATTTTGGTCAGGTAGGTGGGCTGGTCACAGATTGTGATTTTGGTCAGGTAGGTGGGCTGGTCACAGATTGTGATTTTGGTCAGGTAGGTGGGCTGGTCACAGATTGTGATTTTGGTCAGGTAGGTGGACTGATCACGTGATTTTGGTCAGGTAGGTGGGCTGGTCACAGATCACGTGATTTTGGTCAGGTAGGTGGGCTGGTCACAGATTGTGATTTTGGTCAGGTAGGTGGGCTGGCCACAGATTGTGATTTTGGTCAGGTAGGTGGGCTGATCACGTGATTTTGGTCAGGTAGGTGGGCTGGTCACTGATTGTGATTTTGGTCAGGTAGGTGGGCTGGTCACAGATCACGTGATTTGGTCAGGTAGGTGGGCTGGTCACAGATTGTGATTTTGGTCAGGTAGGTGGGCTGGTCACAGATTGTGATTTTGGTCAGGTAGGTGGGCTGGTCACAGATTGTGATTTTGGTCAGGTAGGTGGGCTGGTCACAGATTGTGATTTTTGTCAGGTAGGTGGGCTGGTCACAGATTGTGATTTTGGTCAGGTAGGTGGGCTGGTCACAGATTGTGATTTTGGTCAGGTAGGTGGGCTGGTCACAGATTGTGATTTTGGTCAGGTAGGTGGGCTGGTCACAGATCACGTGATTTTGGTCAGGTAGGTGGGCTGGTCACAGATTGTGATTTTGGTCAGGTAGGTGGGCTGGTCACAGATTGTGATTTTGGTCAGGTAGGTGGGCTAGTCACAGATCACGTAATTTTGGTCAGGTAGATGGGCTGGTCACAGATTGTGATTTTGGTTAGGTAGGTGGGCTGGTCACAGATCACGTGATTTTGGTCAGGTAGGTGGGCTGGTCACAGATTGTGATTTTGGTCAGGTAGGTGGGCTGGTCACAGATTGTGATTTTGGTCAGGTAGGTGGGCTGGTCACAGATTGTGATTTTGGTCAGGTAGGTGGGCTGGTCACAGATTGTGATTTTGATCAGGTAGGTGGGCTGGTCACAGATTGTGATTTTGGTCAGGTAGGTGGGCTGGTCACAGATTGTGATTTTGGTCAGGTAGGTGGGCTGGTCACGTGATTTTGGTCAGGTAGGTGGGCTGGTCACAGATTGTGATTTTGGTCAGGTAGGTGGGCTGGTCACAGATTGTGATTTTGGTCAGGTAGGTGGGCTGGTCACTGATTGTGATTTTGGTCAGGTAGGTGGGCTGGTCACAGATTGTAATATTGATCAGGTAGGTGGGCTGGTCACAGATTGTGATTTTGGTCAGGTAGGTGGGCTGGTCACGGATTGTGATTTTGGTCAGGTAGGTGGGCTGGTCACAGATTGTGATTTTGGTCAGGTAGGTGGGCTGGTCACAGATTGTGATTTTGGTCAGGTAGGTGGGCTGGTCACAGATTGTGATTTTGGTCAGGTAGGTGGGCTGGTCACAGATTGTGATTTTGGTCAGGTAGGTGGGCTGGTCACAGATTGTGATTTTGGTCAGGTAGGTGGGCTGGTCACAGATTGTGATTTTGGTCAGGTAGGTGGGCTGGTCACAGATTGTGATTTTGGTCAGGTAGGTGGGCTGGTCACAGATCACGTGATTTTGGTCAGGTAGGTGGGCTGGTCACGTGATTTTGGTCAGGTAGGTGGGCTGGTCACGGATTGTGATTTTGGTCAGGTAGGTGGGCTGGTCACAGATTGTGATTTTGGTCAGGTAGGTGGGCTGGTCACAGATTGTGATTTTGGTCAGGTAGGTGGGCTGGTCACAGATTGTGATTTTGATCAGGTAGGTGGGCTGGTCACAGATTGTGATTTTGGTCAGGTAGGTGGGCTGGTCACAGATTGTGATTTTGGTCAGGTAGGTGGGCTGGTCACAGATTGTGATTTTTGTCAGGTAGGTGGGCTGGTCACAGATTGTGATTTTGGTCAGGTAGGTGGGCTGGTCACAGATTGTGATTTTGGTCAGGTAGGTGGGCTGGTCACTGATTGTGATTTTGGTCAGGTAGGTGGGCTGGTCACAGATTGTAATATTGATCAGGTAGGTGGGCTGGTCACAGATTGTGATTTTGGTCAGGTAGGTGGGCTGGTCACAGATTGTGATTTTGGTCAGGTAGGTGGGCTGGTCACAGATTGTGATTTTGGTCAGGTAGGTGGGCTGGTCACGGATTGTGATTTTGGTCAGGTAGGTGGGCTGGTCACAGATTGTGATTTTGGTCAGGTAGGTGGGCTGGTCACAGATTGTGATTTTGGTCAGGTAGGTGGGCTGGTCACAGATTGTGATTTTGGTCAGGTAGGTGGGCTGGTCACAGATTGTGATTTTGGTCAGGTAGGTGGGCTGGTCACAGATTGTGATTTTGGTCAGGTAGGTGGGCTGGTCACAGATTGTGATTTTGGTCAGGTAGGTGGGCTGGTCACAGATTGTGATTTTGGTCAGGTAGGTGGGCTGGTCACAGATCACGTGATTTTGGTCAGGTAGGTGGGCTGGTCACGTGATTTTGGTCAGGTAGGTGGGCTGGTCACGGATTGTGATTTTGGTCAGGTAGGTGGGCTGGTCACAGATTGTGATTTTGGTCAGGTAGGTGGGCTGGTCACAGATTGTGATTTTGGTCAGGTAGGTGGGCTGGTCACAGATTGTGATTTTGGTCAGGTAGGTGGGCTGGTCACAGATCACGTGATTTTGGTCAAGTAGGTGGGCTGGTCACAGATTGTGATTTTGGTCAGGTAGGTGGGCTGGTCACAGATTGTGATTTTGGTCAGGTAGGTGGGCTGGTCACAGATTGTGATTTTGTAGATGACACAACGATCGTCAGGTTTGTTTTACTCCAGTGTAGTGTCATGTGAATATTACTTCACCATCTTTGTTACATGTGCAGATTACCTCACCATCTTTGATATATTCGAATATTACCTCACCATCTTTTTAACATGTGAATATTATCTCACCATGTTTGTTAAATGTAAATATTACCTTATAATCTTTATTACATGTTCATTTTATCTCTCCATCTTTGTTACATGAGCATATTACCTCACCATCTTTGATACACGCGAATATTACATCA